CGGCCCTGCCTCTTGCAGACAGATGGGCAGGCTCCCTGACCCCCAGCCCACCTGCCTCTCACCTACCCGGAGCTCTGGCATCTGGATGATGAGGCTCATGGGCACATGGACGATCGGGCTCTTCCTGTAGTCCATGGGGACGACGTTGGGGGCCAGCTCATAGAACCGCGAGTGGAGCCTGCAAGAAAACAGAGGGAAAGCGCTGCAGTGGCCACAATAACCCCCATCCCCAGCGACTGACCCCGCCCTGCCTGTCCCTGTCCTGCCGCCCTGGCCAGGGGCCGAGTGAAGGGCTGTGGGCGCTGGCAGGGCCGAGGAGGTGTCTTCAGGGGTGGAGAGCCAACTTCTGCCCTGGGACACAGATATTCTCTGACTCTATGACTAAAGGGACACTGGATTTTGTTTTTTCCCCCAACTTGAGAATTTGGGAAGCTGAATTGCTGTTGAAGAAATTCCTAGAATTGTCAAATTGCATCCCTGTGGCTTCTTGCCCCGCCAAAGGGCACTACGGAGTTCAGGAGGATTTACGGACCGTCCCACCGTACGTACGAGCTGGGGGCAGAACCCACACCTGCACTGCCTGGGCTGTTCCGAGGTGTGGGGCACGCGAGTGAAGGCTCCCAGCTTAACTCGGGAAGTGAGCAAGGACCCTGCCACCGGAGCCCCACAGGCAGTACCCAGAACAGACGCAAGGCTCTTACACACTCACATGCAAAAGTCTTATGAAATCACAGCGGCAAATCAAGGCTGGCAGGATTTGAAAGAGGGAGATGTTAGGACCAAGTAGGGTTCATTCCGGGAGTGCAAGCGTGGATCGGTGCTTGAAGCTCTGTGACTATACATCATATCAATAGGCCAAAAAACCCTTTTTCGGTCATCGTGTTAGCTGCACCTATAACTAGCTGGCTGTGTGGACACAGAAGACATGAAAAACAGCAAGTGTGCACCACACATTCACGAAGGTCCCTGTGAGGAGGGGTGGGTGGAGCGGGGTCAGGAGAGGGAGACCGACGCCATGTACTATTTGACCTACTTCTGAGCTGTTTGAGTTTTTAGAGTATTCATTAATAAAAATAAGTATCACTTTTGTCAATAAAAAGACAAAATCCTTAGTAAAACAGAAACAAAGGGATATTCTTTACCTCCAACGTCATACTTACATGCTAACGTGCTGGAGACCTTCTCAAAGAAGTGACATACCTGCTACTACCACCATTATATAACATTTCCCCCAGGAGGGGAAATCCACATAACTGGTCAGGAAAATAAAATAGTGTATTTAAATATTGGAAAGAAGGAGGCAAATTATGATTTCCTGGAAAACTGAAAATAGTCAGTTTTAAAAGTATTTGAGTGAGGAAGAGCTCAGTAGCTCTTCTACACAAGTTCTTGTACAGGTCAACATTAGTCTATTCAAAAATAGAACGTTAAAAAAAATCTAATTCACAATACAAAATAAAAACAAAAGCACCAACCCCCCCCCAAAAAAAAACACAACCAAGTATAAAATAAATAAGAAATGTGTACATAGCTAGAAAACCACGAAACTCTACCAAAAGGTAGAAAGTACTGAAGGGATTAGATGACTAACTATACTCCTGATAAAAAAGGCTGAATGCTGTAATGACAACGACCCTCTCTTCATTTTTCCTGTAAAATGAATAAAGTCCTAATTGAAATCTGCCAAGGATTTATTGGAGAACTTGCCAACCTGACGCAAACGTTTGTTTGGAAGAATAAATGCAGGGGCGTAGGGGGAGAAGCCTGAAAAAGCATCTGGGAAAACAAATAGAATTTCAACCTATAATAAGGAAAACCGTATGGAACAGACAGACGTTTCCATGGACAAGGGCGACCCCGATGTGAGCGAGGATCAGTCCGCGACTAACAGCATCTAAATGAATGCAGGGGGATGGAATCTTCTGGCGCCAGACCTGGTCAATCAGCCCTCATGCATGCCTCCCTTTTACGTCAAAACGCTTACATTAAAATTATAACTTAACATGCAGTCGCCAACACTTACAAATGAAAAGATTTTACAGGAGAAGCCAGGAGTCCCCGGAGGCAGCAATCAGCTGGGGCTGGGAAGCAGATTTCTGCAGACCCCGTTCTAACCTCCCCCCACCCCCCATATGGCTTAATTTATCTACAGTGCATGTTGGCCCCTACAGGCAGCTGAGTTTGAGACTCTTGGGATATTCAATAAATGGTCTGGGGACAGAAGACAAGATGTATCAGCCCGTGGAATAAGGAAAATAGGACTCCTTACACCGCGGCTGGGTGTAAGCTGGTTCACACCACTAGAGGGCGATCTAGCAATAAAAAAACTCGAGAGTCTTAAAAAAACGTCTATACCTTCTGATCCAGAAGTTTCTGTTAGAAATTTATTGCAAGAGATAATCCCATAGGTGTGTGGGTTGTAGGTCATGATGTCACAAGGATATTCACCACTGTGCTAATATTATGGTGAAACGTAGAAAACCGAAATGTCCAACTAAATGAATTAAGGAGGTGGTGAAATCGTTTTCTTATCTATTTTTACAATTTGCCTAAGGAAAAGAAATTTTAAGGAAATTAAAAAGCAACATGATCCAAATTTTTTTGGGTCTTCTGCAGCCAAGGAGCGAGGCCTGACTTTGCCAGCTAACAGTGGGATCGCAGAGAATTCATCATCACACCAAACTTTTTTTTTATAAATACACACAACAGGAAAATAGTAGCACGATATATACCCAAAGGTTAAATACAACAAAACGCTAATAGTCATCATTTCTGGGGAGGGGAGGATTAGAGGTCATTTTTTTCTCCTCTCTTGACTGGCTTTATTTTCTAGTTTTTCTACAGTCATCATGCATCATACGTGGAATAAAAAAAATTTAAGAGTGATTGAAATAGCTACAAGGTTTTTAAAAGGTTGAGAAAATAAGAGACAGTCAAGTAACAAAGAGGCGAACACTGGGCTGCTTGCTGAGCGGGTCTCTGTAGTGAAGGGGCAAGGACTTACTGAGGAGCACAGTCTAAGTGGGGACGGGGAGTCAGGGCACTGAGCTCTCCTTACCTATAGGAAGGAAGTGGGGGGCTGCCCACTCAGGGTCAGCGTGGGGTGGAAGTGCTGTGCCCCAGGGAGCAATTGGATCCACCTGAGGGGGACGGGAGGGGGCAGAGGGGACACGTCCCTGATGGTTATCTGTGCCTCTGTGACTCGGTTTCACTGAGCTGGGCCCCAAGCTGCAAAGGAGCTACTGCTCACCACGCTGTTGGTGCTCGGGGAACAGCTCACCCAGAAACCCATCCGGTGGGGCGGCAGCACCGAGGGGCGTCTGGGGGCAGGGCCCTGGGTCTCAGGCCCATTTATCAGCCCCACACCCTGGTGCTCCGGCTCTCAGTGACGCTCTGACGGTGTTGGGGTGTGAGGGGAACCATGGTCCCCACCCATTTCACAGAAGAACCTGAGGCTCAGTGAGGTTCAGATCTTGCCCACGGCCACAGAGCTGGGAAGTGGGGGCAGAGCCCAGGTCTGCTGACACCAAAGCCTGCCTCTCCCAGTGGTGGAAGTGGGGTGTCGCTGCTCACCCAGGGGACACGGAGGAAGAGCAGCCTGAGCAGGGAGGAGAGGCTGAGAGACACTGCAGGTCCGAGCAGCGGCCACCACAGCCCTCTCGGGAGCTGCATCAGGCTCTCGCCCCAGCCTGCCGTGGACCTCCAGGGAAAGGGATCCTGAGACCTAGCGGCTTTTAGTGCCACCTGATAGCCTAGGCAGGGGGCCAGGTCCCCTGGCATCTGAGTCCTGCTCACCATCTGGTCCTGGGGCTCTGAGGCTGCCATCCCCCTTTATCTCATCTCTTCTGTCTGGGTCCACCCCATACCCCCAAAGAAAGGGGCTGTCCTGGGAAGGGACGAGAAGCCTGGTGGACAGCTCAGGGCAGTGGGGGTACTGCATGCCATGCCCCTGTCTTTCGGACCTCCCAGAAGTGGGGGGACATCAGAGCCGGGGCCAGAGGGCCCTGGTCTGACTGACAGGCACCCCTAGTCTGACAGGCCCCAGGATACAGGGAATCGGCAAGGGCCCTGGACAAGTCAGAGGCCAGGTCTTCAGTCTCTGGCTGTGTGACACTGGCCAAATTGCTAAGTCCCATCTGTAAAGTGGGGATAAAACTGGCTTCTCCCATTACAAGGTGACAGGGAGGAGTACATGGAAATGTGCCCGAGACCGCCCACCACAAAGCCGGGCACACGGTCAGCAGGCGCTCAGTGCCTGGCAGAGGCTCGGGTCCCGGAGGGGGGATTGAGTTCACACAGCAGTCTACACTTGGCTCCTGCGGCCAGCCCATGTGGGGTCCCCGGGGCCCCGGCCCGCCCTGTCTCAGCTGCAAGGGGTGAACAGAAGCCACACTTACTTGAGGATGTCTTTCTTATTGAAGAATGAGCAGTCCTGTAGAGAAAACATGTACAGTCGGTTATGTGGCCCCGGATCCTTCCTCAGCACCTCACAGGAACAGCCCCGGACAGTGCTGGGGGCACAAGAGTCACCAGCACCCTCCCGGCCCAGCCCACAGGGGACAGCAATCTAGTGGGACCAGAAAGCGCCTCCTGAAGCCCTGGGCCTGACCCAGGGGACCGAGTGCAGGCGTGGCAGCTGTGAGGCACCTGGGGGGAGCACTTAGTGGGCAGGGGTGGGGGGCCAGTGGGGTACCGTGTGGGATCACACAGGGCAGTGGCCGGGAGGCAAGTGAGGATGAAGACGGCCGCTGTCACAGGGCAGCCCCTGAGAAGGGAGCCTCACGGAGCCTCGTGGTGTGTGAGTGGCCGTGGGCCGCAGCCTCGTGCTCAGAAACGGAGAGTTTCAGGCGCACAGACTGGGGAAGGTTAGCGTCTACCTGGCACCTGAAGCCACAGGAACCAATGAGGTCACACCGGGAAGGCAGTGGAGGGGCTGGGGGCAAGGCCTTTTGCAAAGCCACTCAGGTGCTTGCTGGGTGCAGCCCACGCTGAGGACCACAGCGCCCTGTGCCCGACTGCCACAGGCCTGGTCTGAGGGGCTCTGAATACCCAGTTTTGTTTAATCCTCCTCCTATGGGGGCAGGCATCATCTGCCCAGTTTACAGCCCGGAAAGCTGAGGTTCAGCCAACTGCAACTCTTTGTCCATGGAAAAAAGCTGTGTGACAATGGTGACGCATACTGTGTCTGTTGAAAGAAAGGGAAAGGAAGGCGGGGCGGAAGGGAGGGGTGGAATGAGAAAACGAAGGGGCTGTGGCAGGAGGGCAGGCGAGGAAGCAGTCAGATCTCCAGTTGGCAGGCGGCTGAGGAGGTCTGGCCAGGGCCCTGGCAGTGGGGAAAGAGGGGGGGACCCCCAGGGGAGGCTGAGTTTTAGGACTTGTCCTCCACTGAACTTGTGGCTGTGGGACGGCTGAGTCGGAGCTGCTGGAGGAGCTGCTCTGGGGTCTGGGGACGGCAGCAGTCATGTTTTGGAGTTGAGGCGTGTGGGGCATGGATCCAGAGAAGTGGTCTGGAGGAAACCTGAACCTTCAGGATCACTGGCACCTGGGGATGGGAAGGAGGCCAGGACACCCTGCGGATGCGGGAGGGAGGGGTCGCCCACAGCCGCCCTGGCTGGCCTGAGGCTGGCTGGAGAGTCAGAGGGAGGGAGAGGTGAGGCTCTCAGGTTTCCCGGCTCTCATTTCTCCTACCCACCGGGCTGGCCAGGTCCAGCCGGGCTCTGGCAAAGGCTCAGAACCCAACACTGGGGCTGGTTCCGAAGCGTAACCGGAAGCCAGGCTGGTCTGAGTGGGGACCCAGGCTCCCTGCCCCCACAGGGCTGCACTTCCCTCCTCAGCACGGTCTACCTGCTCACCTGTGCCCACCTCGGACCCACCTCGGACGGAGCCTTGACCCATGCTGTGCCCCCACCTAGACCGCCTCTCTCGGGCCTGGCTGGGCCTGCTCCAGAGCTGTGTTATTTCTGAGCCATCCAGTCAAAGCAAAAGCTCCCTTTCCTCCCGGTCTCCCACTCCCCGAGTGCCCTCCCCTGGCACACACCTCACTGCCTGCCTCTCACTGGAGGCAGGAGCACACACAGACCGCTCCCCCTCCCCCGGGGTTCACGATTCACAGTCCTCTGGGGACTCCGACTGGGCTCCTCAGCCTTTGTTTACCCTTCTGTAAACTGGGGGCAACAGCCTCCCTGTGACCATCAAGGGCGAAGTACAGTGCCTGGTCCACCCCGGGCGCCCTATGAATGTGGCTCCCATTCCATCTCAGGGCCTCAAGTGCAGCTGAGAAATCTGTCGTGGACAACCCGGGCGTCCAGGAGAAGGGACCACGTCCGAGGTCCTCACCTCAAGCCCGACACCAAAACAAATACGCAGGTGGGTGCGGAGACCCGCCTGGTGTCATCTCTCCCACCACACACTCCGCGCAGGCGACAGCACAGTCTGGCCCTCTGCCTGAGGGAGGTGGGAAGGAAGCACCCCAGTGGGGCCCTGAAGGAGGAGAGACCGTCTGGAGGGGACCGGGAGGGAGCGGGGCCTGGTGTGTGGAGGGAACGGCAGACAGTTGCGGGGTGGCTGCAGAGCCCAGGGCAAGTCAGGGGCTGGGCATCATGTGCAACCGCAGAGAAGTCTCGCGGGGGTGGGAGGGCACTGGGGTCTCCCATGTGGGCAGCTCCCTGGCTCCTGAGGCAGGGGACCTCCAAGGGTCTGAGGGGTGGCTGCTGGAGGACCTGAGGAAACCTGGGGAGGTGACCATGTAACACTGCTGCCTGGCTGGCCTTCTTGCCCCAATTATTTCCATGCTGGGGCCAGAGCGAGAGACCCCAACGGGCAAACAAGACATCCCCAACTTAAAACCTCATTTGGGGGATGATGTACCCCACTCCCAACCCAGGTAGGACTCCAGCTGGGTCCTGCTCACGGAGGTTCGCTCTCCTGGGCCGCTTCCCGGGATGAGGGGGTCCTCCTTGCAGCCCACGTGAAGGCTCTTAGGAGTCGCGGCCCAAGGTCAAGGTTGGAGTGAGGGTAGAGGCCGAGTGTGACTCGGGGAGCGGGTTTTTGGGGGCCTGGCAGCGACGGGAAGACGAGGGAGGGGCGTGGGCTCACCTGGTAGTTGTCCAGCTGCTCCTCAGTGAAGATGGTCTGCTTGTTCCCCATGGTGCGCGCAGCCACCCGGGCACCACCTCCCACTCGCGGCCGCCCAGCCCCACACGCATCCCGCCGCGCAGCCCACGGGAGGGGCGTGGTAAGGGGGGCGGGGCCGAGAGGCGGGGCGGGGCGCGAGGAGGAAGCCGGCCCCCAGCTGCAGCTCGCCACAGCTCCGCAAGGGGGCGCCCGGCCCCGGGAGGAGGGCGCTACTGTCAGTTCCCGCGCCTGGGATATTCCTTTACAATCGTTAATCTCTGTTGACTTGCATTCCAGCCATTCCGGGTAGAAACACCAGGGCCTCCACAGAGGACTGCGTTTTCAGCTCTGGGAGTGCCTCCTCCCACAGGTGGTAAACAGAAGCGCCAGCCTGACTAGAAAATTCCCATGAATGAGGCCCTCTCTTGAATTAGTATAACAGTGCTGTGAGCTAGGTCAAGGGGTACAGTTCCCATGTTACAGATGAGAAACCCTGGGCTCAGAGACGCAAGTGACTTGCCCAGTGCCACCCAGCTAGGGAGTGGCAAAGCAAGTCTCAACTTCATTCTCTGATTCCAAATCACATGCTTCTGCGGCGCCCAGCAGTTGGCTGTGGTCCCTGAGAAGGACCATGTGTGTGTTTGAAGGGAGGGTAAACAGAGGAAGAGGAAAGAAGCGGTGAGTACCTGCCCTGTGCCCATTTACTGAATAGGATTATTCCACTAATGCCCTTAAGGCTGTAGAATTTCGTCTCATCATCCCATTTCACAGGTGAACAAGTCGTCTTAGAGAAGGTGACTTGCCAAGGTCACACTGCTGGTAATGGGTGGATTTAAATCTGGGTCCTGTCTAGGGCAGGGGGACATGTGGTAACCGCTCCTATAGGCACTGAGAATACAGCACAGAACAAAACTCCTGCTCTCCTGGAATTTCCCCCTGGGGCAGGAGACAAACGTTCAGCAAGCAAGGGAAATATGCACGGTATGTCAGGTGTAGGGCGAGTGCTATAGAAAATAAAGTAGGGAGGCGGGTAGGTAGTAGGATTGGAGGGGTTGCCATTTAAAATCGAGTGCGCAAGACAGCTTTATGTTAGCTTTCTGGAAAATGAAAATCAAAACCGCAAGGAGATACCATTTCCCCCACTCCAGGATGGCTGTAATAAAAGGCAGGTAACAAGTGACTGGCTCCTAGAGGCGGGGAACCACCATCCTTCCTAGATGGTGACTCAATGAATGAAGGAGGAGCTGGAAGAGTCGGTCAGGGCAGCAGAACCGAGCAGCTTCCGGGTCGGTCGCGGCTGCGTACGTCACCTCGAGACGAGCCCGGCGATTGGCCAGCGCTGCGCGGCGTGGAGAATTCCTTGGGCGGGCCCTGGGGCGGGGCCTCTAGGGGCGTGGCCCGGCGTGGGCTGCACGGCTGCGCACTAAGGCCGCGCTGTCGCCGCGGTGAGAGGAGACGCGATGGCAGGGCCCGCGTGGATGTCCAAGGTGAGCGCCGGGCGGGCGGGCTGCGGCCGCGTGGAACGGCGGGCCGGATGGGGAGGCGGCTCCGTGGTCCGCGCGGGTGTGCGCACCCCGCGCCCAGACGGCTGCGCCCGAAAGGGACGACGTCAAGGTCGAGGAGGGGCGCCGCCCTGCTCCCCGCGGTACCCCAGGCCGGAGCCCAGGCCCCGCGCCGAGCTGACGGTCTAAGGCCGGGACCGCTCCGTGCTGACGGCCGGCTCTCCCGCGGCCCTCTCGGCGGAGCCGGGCCACCTCGCGGGCCGCGGGTGCTGGGCAGGCGAGGTCCCGTGTGAGGTCCCAGTCCGCTTCCTGTTAGGCCCCCCACCCCAGTTCTCCCCGGGCTGCTCCTGCGGCTGTGTCCCCTTCGAAGGACATGGTCACCCTATTACCTGTACCCTCGGAGAGGGAGACCAGTAGCGCCTCCTTTACCTTTCTGGTGAGAATCTACGATCTGGAGGGCTTCCGCCCCCACGACAGCTCAGGACTAAGACCATCTCTGCGGCTCCTTGGCTTCTGGGTGGCGCTCAAGACGCGCCTGAAGAGGTCATTCTCAAGGTCACGCAGGAAGTCGGTGTTAGACCCGGCGAGGAACCCAGGCATCTTGGAGTTCCTAGCTCCTAGTTCCATTCCGCCTGCCCTGGGGCCAAGGTCACACTGCAGATTTTAGGCACAGGGGGAAAAAGGCTCTCATGTAAAGAGCAGCTCCCTAGAAATCTACCATAAGCAACTTAGTTTTTTTTTTCTATAGAATTTGATACTCATTTTCCTCCTTTGTTTTGAGTTTAAAGTGAGGTCCACATGCACTATTTAGTGAAAAAAGCTCTGCGCTGGAATGTAATAAGAGTCTTAGGTTGAAATCCTGGCAGTGCCGCTGATTGGCTTTGTGACCCTGAGCAAATTACGTTTACATTTCTGAACCTTAATATGTCCATCTGTAAAATACACTTGATTCACAGAGTTGTCTGATGGTTACATAAAATAATATGAAAGCACCTAGTACCTGCAGAAGGAACATCCACTTGAAGCTTTCTTAGCTATCAACATAGGAGGTGTGATAAAAAAATATGGTGAATGCTGCTGTCACCTGCCATTCAACGGAGGCAGGGATCATCAATACAGGAAGCAATGCGTCGAACCTTAGTAACAGTGGGTCACAAATTTCAACTTGTTTGGTGCAGTCGGGTGTGAGCTACGGTTGAGAGAGGTGTGCTTTAAAGTGTGCCGTAAATCATCCTCCATCATGACAACCCTCCGTATCACACATTGCCTCTGGTACGGCAATTCTGTCAAATAAAAACATTACGATGTGTCCTCTTCCACCTTATTCACCGGATCTGGCACTGTGCGACTCCTGGCTCTTCCCCAAAGTCAAAATGATTCAGGATATCGAGGCAGCCAGGACAGCGCAACTAAAGACACTCATGAAAGAGGACTTCCAGAACGGCTTCAGAAAGTGGCAAGAACAATGGGATAATGTGTTCGAAGCGAAGGGGAGTATTTTGAGGGGGACTAATGGCAATGTGTTTTTTTTTTTTAATTTAAACATTCCATGTATTTTTTTTATCACACCTCGTATTTGCTCAAAATCGTGCAGTCATGAAGCAGGCTGTGGTTCCTGGGCATCAGTACGGTTTTACTCAGTAACTGGGTTCTGCTTGTTAGCTCTTCAGACCTAGATTTGTGTGTGACAGTAACTTATAGGTCACACTTGTTCCTGAATGTGAAGCAACTTCTGTGTCACCGCCTAAACAGGAGTCAGTCCCTTACCCACCAAGCTTACACTTAACACCAAACCCATCTGTGGTAGGCACATGAAGCCTTCTGAGCAAGGGACGGAAGCAGCATAGATGATAATCAGTGTGTTTTGCCTTTAGTGAGGTCTGCAAGGAAAAACCCATAGATGTTGAGAGAGTGTTGGGTTGTGGAATCACAAGACCAGGTTCTTCTCTGACATGGAATCCCTGTGTGATCTTTCATGGTCATGTGACTTCTGTAGTTATGCTGGGCCAGTTTCTCCCTTTAGGGACTGGAGTAGAAGGTGCCTCAGAGACAGATCATCTGAGGAAAACCCAATGTTTGAGCTAAAAAAAAGTATAGTTTCAATCTACCTTCAACATCTTTTGACAAATTACTTACCAAATCGACTTTTAAAGCATATAGTAGTTAAGTTCTCAAAGCAAAGGTAAACTGCATAGTATTTAGTTTTTCAGATCTGAGGTAGGTAGCCACATTGAGCTAATACATGAGAAAATATCCTTCGAAGTCCCTGAATATCTGTGCAAACTTGCAGCATTAGCAGCCGTCAGCAATGGCTTTGTTTCTGCCTCTCACTGCATGTGGTTTAATTCTGTGCATGACATTTCTTTGTTGATATTAATATAGGTCTCTCGGCTGCTGGGGGCGTTCCACAACCCAAAACAGGTGACCAGAGGTTTTGCTGGTGGTGTGAGTATAATTATGTCTTATTTTTTCCCTTTAGAAGTTTCTCAAGAAAGATTTATTATCTAGTCCTTTATCTCCATTTATTTAAAAGTAGGGAAAATTGGCCATATTAAAATTATTGGCTAACATGCACAAATCTAATAGGTCACATTTAAAAGAATTATATTACAGCTGGCTAAAGCCTGTCACAGTAATATCTTGAAGGAGCCTTGTTAAAAATAGACAGAAATTTCCCTTGAGCCTGTTACTTTATTTCCCAATCTCATTTTGGAAAGACTGTTTTTCAAAACTAGTACAAGATGAGGAAAAATTGTTGAGAAGCTTCAAAGCCTGCTTTGCATTTTTATTTTGTGAGCTTCCCTAAAACCAGTAGTGTGATTGCCAATTAGGAATGCCTCAAACATCCCTTAGGCCTGTAGGCCCGTGCCTTCCGTATGCAGTCTTCATAGACTATCATGTTAGTGGGTCATCTATTTCTCATTAAATCTGCTTTTAGAGTTCTCAGCACTAGAGTTCTGTGCTTTCGAAGCTGACCACCACATTTTAAGAGCATTCTAAACCTGTAGGTCAGTGACTTCATATCCGTTTTTATTTTATCCCTTGTCACAGAATCGGATAGGATTTCATTATTCCTGTTCTCCCACATCACATCTTATTCTAGGAGGGATTTGCAAGGCCATAGTACATTTTCCCCCATTTACGTTCTGTACTGTGGAATAAAGTGGACTTTCCTGGTGGCCTGGTGACATTTATCATGACATGTTGGGAGAACAGGAAGCAGCATCCAGAAAGCCCTGGGCTCTGCTCATGCAAAGGTGCAGAATGTGGCTCCACGCCAAGCTCAAGGACAGCGAGCCGAGCATTTCAAACATGTCCCGAATGCTAATGAGATGGCCATTGCGCTCTATTGTTTTCATTTTTACGCTATCCATTAAAAAAAATATTAGCCTGGTGGGGAGGGTGTTATATTTGAGAGATATAAGAAGAGAAACTAATGTTTAAAAAGATTTCTTCAGCTGTACAGAAACATTCAGAAGCAATTAGTCCACCTGTTCAGGGGGTATCACTGGAAGGCAGAAGACCAGGGAAGCTTGACTCGGGGATTTAAAGAGTAGCTCAGGGACCAGCCGAGTGGCGCGTTGGTTAGGAGTTGGCTTGGGACGTCAGCTCTGAGCAGCAGGGCCCCGGTTTGGATCCCACATGAGGTCCAGTGACGCTGCGCCCTCTACAGCTAAGATGGTGAACAACAGCTTGACCTGGAGCTGGGCTGCCATGAGTGCCCGGCAGCCAGCGTGAGCCGCTGTGAGCCACCGTCCAATGGCCGGTGAGTAACTGCCTCACCCAGGAAGAGTGCAATGATCACAATACCAACATGGGCCAGTGAAGCGACGTCCTCCACAACGAGACTAAAAAACAAAAAAAAAAAAAAAAAAAAAAAAAAGAGCAGCTCAGGCGGCTGGAAGCGAAGAAGGCCAGGGACCACTGTCTGGGCCAAACCGCCAGTTGGGGGAAGTCTCCAAATAAAGACGTATAGTTTCCAAGTGGAGGGAAAGGGTCTGAATATTATCTTAGATCATTTAAATCCGCTCATCATTTCCCTTTACACGTTTTTATATCTGTGTTTGAAATGCTGGCTTCATTTTGCTTGAAGCCTTTGAAATAAATAATTGATGTCACATTATAAATACACTTGTTACTCTACGTGTAACTCAGATTTTGCAGGTATGATCACATGTGCTGTTCTTACTGGTTACAAGTAAACTTTGCTGAGCTCATTTCAATTACATTTGCCGTTAAGGAGCCAGTTTTATAGAGGAACTCAGAAAAATGAAGATCCTCTCTTGCTGTGAAGTCGCATCTTCTCTGAGTGCCAAAACAGACCTCAGTGGTATTCTGGGAGTGTGTCAGAAAGTGTTCTTGAGACTGAACAAGCTGCGTGAGAAACTAAACTTTCCAGAACTCCAGTGGTGAGGAAAGCACTTGCCTCCACGAGAAGCCCTCTAAATTTTAGAGAGAGAACGTTTTGAAATGTTTTGCTCTTTGGTTTTACAGACCTGAATTAATGAGTCCCTTTGTAGCTTGTGTGAAAAGCAATATCAGTGGGGAAGTCTACTTAGAAGTTTATTTTTTTATCTAAAGAACATCACTTGAGTTCTTTTTATTATCTCTGAACGCAGGTAATAGTAGACTTGTGGAGTCTTGATTCTCACCTCCACTTGGATGAGCCCTTGGGAAGTAGGTCTGTTTTCTGAATGGCATTTGGGTCTTCTTGAGACGACCCCCTTCCCCATGAACTGGATTTCCTTGTCAATGACATTCTGTTTTAGACTTTCAAAAATCAATTCTTACTGTGTTCTTTGATGATTTCTTATATTCAGGTTCAGACAGTAACTTTAATTCCCGGAGATGGTATTGGCCCAGAAATTTCAGCTGCAGTTATGAAGATTTTTGATGCTGCTAAAGTAAGTGGGCTTAAAAAAACACCCTTAATAAGAACTTGTAGAAAAGTTTCCTTACCAGTTGGAGTCTGTGAGCTTTTAGGATGAATTGCCCCTGTTCATATGAAGCTGGTAAGGTCTGCTGTTAGTCTTCACGATTCTGCACAGGGGTGTTTGCTGCTGTCACCGTGGGTGGTTCCATCCACTGCATGGCACCAGCTCTGGCAAGTGGTCAGAGCAGTGCCACAGTGTTCGAGGGTCTCTGCACCCTGTCTGGGCTCAAGGTCTCCCAGTCCTGCCAAATCACTGTCTGCCTCATGCTGCCTTCCTGCCAAAAAGGAGAATGCAACTGATATTTCAAAACACTACATAGGAGGTTTTGAAAGATTTCTTTAAAAATTCCTGGTGTGGTATTATCATCACATAAGTGTGAAGTTTTATTCTTACAGCCCAGACTTCAATGCCAGTAGATATCTTAAAATCCTTTTGTTTTGGGCATTTAGGAAACTTGGACTTTGTTTGATATGATACTTTATTATTACTATTTATAGCTGCTAGGTGATATAACGTGAGAGAGTAAATCAGTGGTCATCATGATACCAACAGCTGTAAGTCGAGGAATGCAACTTATTGAAACTACACGTACATTGTTTTTTCTATATGAGTTCCTTGTTAAAACTCCTGCAGAGGAAATTATGCTCACACACTAGCACATTCCCCCAGTGAGCTGAAATGTGGTCGCTCGCTGAGCTGTACGCTCCTTGTGGACGAGGACCATGTCTTCCTCAGTTATTCCTGGTGCACGCTCAGTGTGCTGGCTGCCAGATGTGTGTGTACACGTTGCAGGGTGTGTGTGGAAAGAACGAATGACACTAATTTATACCTTAAAACTGTTGCCTTCGTAATTCACATACTACGCAGTTCACCCGTTTAAATCCAGTGGTTTTTCATACATTCAGAGTTGTGCAGCCATCTCTGCAGTCTAATTTTAGAACACTTTCATCACCCAGAAAGAAACCCCATACTCGTTAGCAGGCACTCCTCATTCCCCGCTTTCTCGCCCTACCCCTCCCATTACCAGCCTGTGGCAACCACTTAACCTACTTTCTGTCTCCATAAATTTGCCTATTCTGGACATTTCATATGAATCGAATCTTAGAATGTATGGTCTTTTATGACTGGCTTCTTTCACTTAGCATAAGGTTTTCAAGTTCATCCATGGATCACTTCTGTGAACCGTTTCTCCCCTTCTGATGATATTCTAATTATAGCCATGTTGAGTTGTACAAACAAGAAGTGGACAGGTGGCAGCTAGGAGTAGGACTGGACGGGGGACTGGAGGGTCCCTCTGGGCATGTCGAGAACGACATCTCTTCCTGCATGCCAGGAACCTTCTGGAGCTTGACTGTGTGTCTTCACCAGTCGTGTGCAGAGCTGAAGAAGTTGCTTTGTAATTGTGGTGTGAATGCCAGTGCACCCGGCCTTTCCAACTCACTGTGCTCTGCTCTGGCATCCAGGTGCCCGTTCAGTGGGAGGAGCGGAATGTCACTGCCATTCAAGGACCGGGAGGCAAGTGGATGATTCCTCCAGAAGCCAAAGAGTCCATGGACAAGAACAAGATGGGCCTGAAAGGTAGCCCTGCAGTGGGTGTGATGCCATCGCCGATCTCTGCTGCCACTCTTACATTTTGGGACGTTCATGCATTTAAGCTAAATGAAGCCAGCCTTTTATGAAGCAACTTACTCTTAGTAAGATGCTCTGCTCTTCATTATGGGACAGTAAAACATTAAGTATTACTGGCCAGTGTCAAGTGACAGTATACATTTCTGTTCACCTACATTTTACCTTTGGCATACTTTTTACATTTTATCTTATTTAATGCATGCTTAAGGGCATGATGTGGCAGATTTGAATCCAGACAGATCAGGTTTGAAGCTCATCTCTGCCACTTACTGGCTGGAAGACCTGCGCAGATGTCTTACTCTCGGTTTTGTTTTATTTTTCCACCGCATTTAAATGGCTGATAGAGCTGGCGCCTCACAGGACGGTGGTGAGGATTAGATCGCGTCAGGCACCTGGCACGGTGCTCAGCCTGTCAGTAGGTGCTCAGCATGACTAAAATGCGGCTGATGTCCCAGACAGCTTCCACGAGAGCTTTTCTTCCTTCATTTGATTCCGAGGGCAGGTGAAGTTAGAGGCAGACACATTTCACAAGGCAATGCAGGTGGGCCAGAGGGCGACACTGGGAGTGGGCGCCCAAGGGTGACCAGGCACGACGGACTCATTCCCGATGAAGATCACATCAGACTCAGAGACAGGGCACCTGTGTGTCCTTTCAGACGACTCCTGCTCTGCTGTGAAAGTGTCCCTGGTTCGTGAAGCATCCGTTAGACGAGTCACACAGCTACTTCACGTGCAAAGCAAGGGCCCTAAATACAGCCCTGATGGAAAAGTGAAGAAAAAAGGAATCTCTAGTAAACATTATGCACTTGTGTTTATAAAGAAGAGGAGATCCTGTTGTCATCTGGGGATTCTTCTTTATTACAGGCCCTTTAAAGACCCCAATAGCAGCTGGCCACCCATCCATGAATTTGCTGCTGCGTAAAACATTCGACCTTTATGCAAATGTCCGACCATGTGTCTCAATCGAAGGCTATAAAACCCCTTACAACGACGTAAATATTGTCACCATTCGTGAGAACACGGAAGGGGAGTACAGTGGAATCGAGCACGTGGTATGTTCATGGAGGTTCTTTTTCTTGGCTGGGTTGCTCAGATTCCCAGGGGCCGTTCACTCTGACCACTGTGAGGCGGGGCATTTGTCTTGGTCCTGAGTCTGGCCACACGGGTGCCAGGAGGACCAGTGCACGGGGCCCGGGAACATGCCTTTTGAGTTTTGCATCCTGACTTCACAGTGGGGCTCATGGGCAGGCAGCCATGTCTGCACCTCAGCCCTCTCCCTGCAATGGGGCTTCCCGTCTCTGCCTCGTGGGGCTGGGTCAGCATGAGCCCCACCGACTACGGGACGTGTGATGCTAGCCAGGGTCGTGGGCAGTGCACGATGCCACTGAAGATGCTGTGGACATGCCCCGGCATCCCGTGCCCTCTCCAGGAGCAGGACTCGTGTGTTTCAGATCGTGGACGGAGTTGTGCAGAGCATCAAGCTCATCACCGAGGAGGCGAGCAGGCGCATTGCGGAGTTTGCCTTCGAGTACGCGCGCAACAACCACCGGAGCAACGTCACCGCCGTGCACAAGGCCAATATCATGTGAGTCCCTGGGGGGCCAGCACCCCACCCGTCCGCACCGTGCTGTGGGAGGGTCATGCTGCTTCCCTCTCTTCTCTCCAGCTTGCTCACTGACCTCTGGTGTCTCGCTCAGGCGCCTCCTATGTGAGGTGCCTCCCTGGGTGAGTGACAGGAGCAGATTTGGGGGGCAGGAATCCAGGTCCCTGAAGCATCAGAGAAAGAAGCTGTGGACTCTGGGTCCCCAGGTGCTGAGGCCAGTAGGTTGCAGACGTGGGACAGTGGGCGTGGCTCCGGAGTGGTTACGTTCTCAGGGCTCCCTGCAGCCCCTGCTGAGGGGGCTGACACGTGCAATGTGGCACCAAGTTCTCCTCAGCACCAGCCTGTGCAGGCCGTCTCTGCTGTACAAAGAAAGGGGTCCCTGGCGGCCCAAAGGGGGTGTTGAGTGTGGAAGGTAGTGAAGCCATTTAAATAATCGAGTAATAAGTTAGCCTTTATTAATCGATACTTAATGCTAGCTGGATAACACTGCTGCCTAAGAAACACATTTACTGTAGTTGAAGTCAGACAACTTGGCTTCTGGAACTTCAGTTTCCTCAACTTACTTTACTTCTCTGATTTGATGCTTTTCTTTCTACAAGTTTTTGCTTTCAACAATTTTTATTTGGTTAAATACAGGCGGATGTCAGATGGGCTTTTTCTGCAAAAATGCAGGGAAGTTGCAGAAAACTGTAAAGATATCAAATTTAATGAGATGTACCTTGATACAGTGTGTTTGAATGTAAGTACATTTTCATCCTCACTTGCCCTTGTCTGGAGTGCAGTGTGTCTGTGTGCATTTATCCATTGCTAAACGCACCTATGCGTTTCTCATAGATGGTCCAAGACCCGTCCCAGTTCGATGTCCTTGTTATGCCAAACTTGTATGGAGACATCCTGAGGTGAGTTGGGCTGTGCCCTTTTAGCCCACAGTTTATTTATAAACGTCTGGAAGGAAACTGGTTTAAAATTTTCAATGAAATGTTATAAAAGAGAGCATTTGCTGTGAGACAAGACTGGGACCTTGATAATCCAGGAGGCGGTGCCAGTGGTCACAGGCTGGGGGCCTTACTCCTGCACGTGCCCCGTCGGCTGCTGCTCCCTGATCGTCTGTTCCTTCACATATTTCAGATGTTTTGTTGGTCGGTTGGTTGGGCAATTGACTTCAATGTTTTATGTATAGCTAGGTAGGTGGGTGGTCATTTTTACAGATTTTTTTCTAACTTTTGACGTAATTTCAGAACTTACAGAAAACTTATAAGAACGTTAGAATTCCTGTGTATTCAGCACCCATGTTACCCAAATGTTAACATGTCACCACATTCACTGTATTAGTCCCTCTCTCCTTCTCTACACACACACACATACACACACACGCACGCGTTGTTGGCCAAATGGTGATTTTCTGTGTCCATCGCGCCTTCTTACATTCGTTAGTTGGTATTCTACTGTAAGGATAAGCTTTTCCTTGTCTCGTGTGTATCTGTTTACTTTTTATCTGCATCAACTAGGACTCAATGGTTACGTCCATCACTGTCATTCATATTGATGCCTAGGTTGTCCCAACTTGGCCAGGGATTGTCCTTTTGAGCTGTCACTTGCTCGCTGGCACAGCCAGATGCTCCAGGCTCACCCTATATCTTCCTAACCGCAGTTGTGGACTAGCCCTTTCTCCAAGGAGCCCTGGTTCCTTTTAGGGGAGGATGGTATTGAAAAACTAAAGTCTGGGTGCTGGGTGACATGTTTTATTTTTCACACCAACACCCGACACGCTTTCTGCCTCCAGCGACCTGTGTGCTGGATTGATTGGAGGTCTCGGTGTGACACCAAGCGGGAACATTGGCGCCAATGGGGTCGCAATCTTTGAGTCGGTAAGTATTCTGGTCACAATGGCATGAGAACCCAGGAGCGGTGGGTGATCTGCATAAACATGTCTGACCTTTTGAGTTTCTCTTAATTGTCGAAAGGAAATGATGCTTTGTTTAGGTTTTTACGTTAAGTTTGGTTTATTCATTCATTTCCCTCTTGTTTACTTTGTATCCTTGTTATCTGTCCTTCCTCAGTTAAAATACCTGACCACTGGTTGACAGGAAGAGAGGGTTAGTCCATAGTTTGCAGTTTTTAAAAATTATTTTGGCCCTTTGTTTCTCTGCAGCCTAATTTCTAGGCCTGTGTCTGAGGAGTTTGGCACAGCTGCTGTTCAGTAACCGTCCTCCCCTGTGAGGACAGGTGGTGAGGGCCCCTGGGGGGTGGAGGGGGTGCTTGCCCTGCCCCTGATGGCTGTGCTTCCCGGGCAGGTTCACGGTACCGCCCCGGACATCGCGGGCAAGGACATGGCCAACCCCACGGCCCTGCTGCTCAGCGCCGTGATGATGCTGCGCCACATGGGGCTGCTGGAGCACGCCGCAAAGATTGAGGCCGCCTGCTTCGCCACCATCAAGGACGGGAAGGTGCGGTCCCCTCATCGCATGTGTTCTGAGGAGCCAGCCGTGGCTGGTGCTCAACGGGCTCTTCCCGTGGGCTCCCGTGTGAGCTCAGGGCCAAGCATGGCTGCCAGGGCTGAGCGGCACCGAGAGCCTTGGTGTGCAGCGGGGCCAGGATTCAGCCAGTCCAGTGGAATCGTGCATTTGTCATTTTGTGACTGGCTTACTTCACTGTGAAGCGACACTGTAGACCCAGCAGGTGCCTCAGTTACACAGTAGGCCCTTCAATTGTGGATACGGTGGTGCGAGGGAACTCCAAATGCTGAGGCCTGTCTGGCAGTGAAGACAGGACACGCTGGTAGGAAACACTGGCTATATGGGAGGCGTTCTTGTCTAAAGAGGGAAGTTTAAGAGTTGGTGATTTAAATGTTACTGTAGTATTTGCTTCCCGGCCTCCAAAAACATACTGAAATATGTCTTAAGTTTTTTCAACTTTAAAAATTCCCCCAGGGATTTCTGAACCCTCTTGTTTAGATTTGCTTTCATCAGACGTTTGCCCAGGGTCTGTCGTGTGGACAGAGGGACTTGCCCAGTCCTCCTGGGGTAGGCACGTGGCTGTGGGCGCAGCCAGGTATCTTGCTCAGCTAGTTTCTCACTGGGGCTTTATTTATTTTATTTTTTTAGAAATTTTATTGGGGAACAGTGTGTTTTTCCAGGACCCACCAGCTCCAAGTCAAGTAGTTGTCTTCAATCCAGTTGTGGAGGGTGCAGCTCCGTGCCCCATGTGGGAATCGAACCGGCAACCGTGGTGTTATGAGCTTGCGCTCCGACCACCTTGAGCTAACCGACCACCCCTCAATGGGGCTTTAAACAGAAATAGCCTTGCTGGGGTTTAGTATGTGGATACGTTTTTACTTTTGGTTTTTCCTTTTCGCAGAGCTTAACAAAAGATTTGGGAGGCAACGCAAAATGCTCAGACTTCACAGAAGACATCTGTCGCCGAGTGAAAGATTTAGATTAGTGTTTCTGCAGATGGTATTCGATCAGTCACTCCTAACGGACACCGCGTAAGCCTGTGTTAAGACATGTCCCATTGTGTGTGCGCTTGGTTTCCTGTTGTTAGATCTGGCTTTTCTTAACAAAATCTGCAAAACGATGCAGGTGACGTCCTTGGGCCTGCTTTAAAGGACTTTTTCCAAGTGCTTCTTTTATTTATTAAATGTCTATTTGGTATACATTTTTTGTAAACTCTAAGCAGACTGTATCATTGCCATTACCAACCATTTTACACTTCAGTTAAAACAGCTTTTCCTCAGCTGTAAATATGATATAGAATTAATAAGAGAAAACATCTAACTTTTTAAAGAAAAGGTTTTCCTTGGTTTACGAAAAATATAATAGAAATAAAAAACAGAATATTGACTTACTAGCACAAGAGGACATTCTTATCAAGTGAACGGGCACAAAGACATTTTCTAGGAAAGGTCACATCAAAAACAGTTAATATGGTATATTTCTTTAGTTATATGGAAAAACTGAGACAGATTTGTCCATTATATGAATTACTGAGTATGAATAAAGACTTTGGATCCAAGAAATATATGAGAGAGATAATTTTTGTTAATAAGACATAGGTAATATATTGGCTACAAAGACACAAATGCATTGTTTGATTATTTTGTTACCTTGCGATTTACTTTTCTTGGCGAGAGAGCTTTCAGCAAAGTGGAGGGTGGTATTTCCTTTTCACTGGACACACGTTAAGCATCAGACGTAATAGCCTTTGAGCCCCTGGACTGACTGAGTCGTACGTGGGAGCTGACCACTCCTGCAGCACGTGTGTCACACTCCAGCTGATACTGCTACAAGGTCTAACCTCATGGCTATTAACTGTAGGTTTCAGTGGCTGCCCCTTTCTCTCCCCTCAGCACCAGGGCTAGGAGAGCAGGTTGCAGAGACCCAGCAGATTCAGCCCTGGGGCTTGGGCTCAGCTTTCAACTTTCAGCCACCTCCCTGCCCCCAGCATGATTTCCTTCAGACACCAAGTCACTATTTTCACGAACACTTACCCTTTGGCCCCAAACCGAAGGCAACTCATGTCCTCCTTTGCCCCTTGTGTAACGTCGCAAACCTGTGGCTTTGCATAACGTACCCAGGTCATGGGTATTTCCTAACAACCAGTGTCCCTGTCTGGGTGCTTTTTAAGGCTTGTAACCGGACTTACAACCTTATATGTATTTTCCTCTGTTTCAGCTGCTGCTTCCTCTGTTTTATCGGATTGTGCTAACTGTTCTTGGGTTCACACTAATAAAGATTTCCCAAACTGATGGAGATGTCTGCTTTGTCTACCTGTTTCCCGTTCGATGCCTTTTACACTAAGGATGGCAGCTGCACACGTCAGAGCAGCTGGGTGGCCAGGTGGTGACACCGGCAGAGTTAGCTGCTTTTGCTAGAACGCTCTACTTCACCCTCTGGCGCCTCTGCTGATTCCAGGTGCCAGAGGTCACTCATACCCGTGCGCATAGCACTGCGGGTTAAATACCCACCAGTCTGACGTCCCACCTGCTGAAGTGACAAAGAAAATCAGGTACTTCCTGACAGTTCTGTTAAAGCGTTTAATATCCAAATTACACATTAAATATTGGTAGGCAGCAGCAGCGCTACAAAGCATCAAGTCAGCTGGTGTGTGCGTGCAGGGGCGCCTGGTATTGGAGTGACAGCATCAGCAGCGTCCAACAAGATTCCAGAGTGAGTGAGTGAGTTACAACCGTTCGCACGCGGTAATACGAGCAGACTTCCCTGCCGCTGGCTGGCCTGCTGAGTGAGCCAGCAGCCCATAAAATCTACCTGGAACTAAGGCCAAAGTCTGTCAACCCTTTACTTCTGGGAGGACAGCTGGTCTCATGTCACCTGAACAAAAAGCAACACTTAAAACTATGCACATGTGAAGGTTCTTGGAATTGTCAGCTATTGTTGGCACAAGTCCTGGCAAATGGAATGCCAGTGCCATACCTGACCCGAGCGAGACCTAACAGACTTGCCAGAAGTCCGTGTGCCCGGACTGAAGACCTGGACTCAGGAAAACACTAGGAGGCCCACCGTCTTCAGGGGACACTGGAAGGACGGCCTGGGTCACTTCTTTTGCTCTTGATAAAAGGAGTCGATGACATCTTTGTACTTCTCCAGGACTGTGAGCCGTTTCAGTTTCATTGTGGGACCTCAAAGAGAAATTGGAAGAAATGAATGAGGCCTAGGCTCCAAGAAAACTGAGGTCTGAGGTCAAGATCCAGATGTCGCTGAGCTCTGGAACTGGATTAAGCCAGACAATCGAGACGCCAGCCTCCGAGACGGCCCTCAGTGATCCTGCTGCTGGTGGTCCCCGCCCCCCCCCAAACACTCGCACCAGCGTTGGTCTAAGTGGCCAACAGAACACAGGAAGCGATGGTCTGTCACTTCTGAGGACGGCTGTGAGGACTGCAGTTTCTCATGTACGTAGTCAAGTGTGAGCCACGTCCACCCAACCCTTAACCTGCACCAACTTCTGATCCTCAGTGCATTTTCTGTTCTGTTCTTTCAATGAATAAAGGAGTCAAGCAACCCGAACAACAAAAGGCTACAGTTTCTGTCCTGGGCTTGCTCTCAGGTCATCCTTTCTGGGACTAACCAGCTGCTATGTGGTGAGGGCACGAAGGCCGCCTATGGACAGATCCCCTGGTCTCGGGCCAACAGCCAGGGAAGAAGCGTGGAAGCGGCCTGTCCAGCTCCTGCTGCCGTCTGCGGTAACCTCATGAGACCCCATGCCACAACCACCCAGCTAGGCTGCCTGGACTCCTGACCCACAGAAGCTAAGATAATGGGCGCTCACTGCTTTAAGCTGCTAAATTTTGGGGTAACTTGTTACCCTCAATAACTAATACACAGGTCATGCCTACATTTCAGTGGAAGTTCATACGGTGTTGGACGTTATGCTTTGACTGCCTGGGAGGGGATGGGGGACTCCCTAGGTGGGGAGGGCTCTGACTCAAGGTCCTGGGCAGCTGAAAGTCCATTTTGTGTGAACTCACTCTTAGCCGTGGAACTGGAAACTTCAGAGTCACTTTTTTCCCCATGAAGTCTGAGCATTTTATTTATTTTTAGGTTTTTTTCCAGCGTTATTTATATAAACTGCTGAGAGAGAATAGCTGCCTGGCTGATGGTGTGTGCAGTGTTAGACCAGACGGCCAGACATGTGCCAGCCTTACTGGGCAGTGTGTCTGGGGTCAGCCTTAAAGGGCCGGGGGAATTGCCTAAAGAAGCCAATCCCTGTGCTAAAAACCCCCCAAGATGCTACAGCCAAGAGCAACTTCATCCAGCTGGGGCCGCACAGGCCTTTTCTGGTCTGTGGACTATGGTCCAGTGGGCTTCACGCCCTCACCTGTCAAGCAGCTGGCTTTGGCTTTACACATTACGGTGGTCACTCCCCAGTGCTGGGTGACTCCAGCCCAAACACTAACAGGGCCTTCGTGTCTGCCTGGTGGTCCCGGAGTCAAAGCAAAGCCAAATGTATGTTCAAATTAATGAGTTAAGCACAGGCTTTGCACATGCAACAGGCTCTCAGAACCATGGCCCATGCACTGCGCCATCAGTATCCCCCACAGGAAGGAGGGATACCCAAAGTGCCATCAGGGACCCTCTGCTGGCCATGACTGCTTCCCGACGGGCACCTCCCAGGCCCTGCCATGGCCTCGCCCTCCCACACAGCACCGCGAACACAACAAACCTACCCAGCTCTCCGCCTGAGATGGAGAAGTCCCTCTGGAGGATGGCCCACTTCTGGATGTGGTGGGGTCGGGCGGCCGCATTCCGGTTGACCCTCTGGATGCCCTCTTCAATGGCCTGGTACACGGCCTGGTCCTTCTTCCCCACGATGTCGGACACTGTGGTCGCGTTGCTGCCCACCCGCTGGCAGAACTCCACGACCTGCTCGGTCAGGTTATCGGTGGGGTCAGAGGTGTCTGGGTCCAGAGTGCACTGAAGGACAGACACGGACGGGGTCAGGACCAAGCCTCACTGCGCAGGGCGCAGCCTGGTCTGGGAGGAGGCGGGTCACTGGGAGCTCTGGCTCTGGGTGAGGAGGCTGCTGCCCTGACTGCAGCCCTGTGGTGGTGTGAGGCACAGTCCGAGACTCAGAAGACCTCAGTAAAACCACAGTCTATGCCAGGGGCTATAACTCCTGCCGCGTCCACACCTGGGGCCCAAGTACCTGCTGGGGGCAGAGGGCAGCAGCACTGTGACTGGCCTGTGCTGGAACACATCACAGCACTGGATTGTTAAACTGTTATCTCTGGGCTGAAGGGACGTCCCCGAGCAACGGTTGCTCCTGAGTGTGGGCAGCGCTCACTGGCTATTTCAAAGCAAAGTCCTGACACCAGACGTGTCCTGGTTCAACATGGCTCTGCTTGGGCCAAGCCCCCAGACACACCTTCAAGGTCAGCAGCATGGACAGGAACTTCCTCTGGTCCCCGATCAGCATGGCGCAGCTGACGATGGGCAGCTCCGTCTTCACGGCCTCCTCGATGGGCATGGGCGGCACGTTCTCCCCGCCTGCTGTGATGATTAGCTCTGGGGAGGCAAGACCAGGCCCCGCTGAACCAGGACTCAAGCCTCGGCCACAGCCCCGGAGGCAGGAGCTGCAGGCAGCAGTGCTGGACATCTGGGCAGGCCCTCACACCTGCTGGGGGACGGCGGCAGTGCCCAGAGGACAAACGCCCACCCAGGGCTCCCACTCCTCCTCCTCTCCCAGGACTGCTTGCTCAAAACACCTCATCTACCAGGCCCGGCTCCTTAGTGGGCGTCCTGCCTCATCCAGAACCCCCCCGTCTCCCCCACCATCACGTGCAGGCACTGTGCTAAGTGCTGGGCATTCAGTAATCCCTTAACCCTCCCCACAGGCCTACGAAGAAGCAGGCGCTGCTTCACAGATGAGGAAACTGAGGCACAGAGGTTACGTACCTTGCCCAAGGTCACATGGCAGTGCCATTCCCGAGTCTGAGCCCTTTCCCACTGGCTGGGGCCTTGCACCTTCCCAAGGGGACGCCCTCTCCCGTTCTCGCCATCTGCCCAACAGACTGCCTGTTCTCACGGACCAGCTCAGCTGCCCCTTCAAGAAGTTCGCACCTACTCCCATCTACACCAACTGCTTCCTCTGAGCTTTTCCATGGCATTTTCCTTCCATTCAAATACGTACTGGATGTGTCTGTCCCCTGGACGATGGCTTACATCCAGGCTGGATGGCAAGATGGGGGCATTTGCCAAATACACCTGAACTGCTGCCCCCCAATTCTATCTAATTCAACAACAACAACTTGGCCTCATTTTGTGCATAGGTCCCGTGCTGACGTCGGGCACAGAGCAGAGTGAGGCGGGCCCTGGCAGCAAGGAGCCCACAGTGCGGGACGCATGGACAGCAGGGGGTTACAGCTGCTCAGCTAAGCAAAGCCCCGTTTCCACAGAGGAGGCCCCCCCCCCTTACTTCCCTGGGAGAACCAAGTTCTTCACAGGCAATTTCTTTGAAGTCTCAAGTTTCACTTTAAATTTAATATCCAATTTGTGTTCTTCTCTACATCACATCCATGATTGCACATAAAAATACGTCATATCTATGCCCTCAGGTCCTCTGGGAAGAATTGCCTTGTTTCTCTAGGGAGCTTGACTCCCAGCTGGGCAACCTTGAACAAGTTACCTAACCTCTCTGGGCATCCTCATCATAAACTGCCCCCCAGGAGACAAGAGTGTCAAGTGGCGTCTGTCGAGGTGGCACTTCAGGGCTCAGTAGTCGCAGCAGCATACATGGGGGTGGCAGTGCACTTCCCACTGTACCCACCACACCCTAGTACCTTTGAGACGCCCGGTGATATAGAGGAAACCGTCGGCATCCAGGCGGCCGACGTCACCAGTGTGCAGCCAGCCGTCAGCGTCGATGGCCTCGCGCGTCTTGTCCTCCATGTTCAGATAGCCCATGAAGACAGTACGGCCCCACAGGCAGATCTCGCCGGTGCCCTCTGCATCCTGGTTCACCAGCTTCGCCTGGCAGCCGGGCACCACCTTGCCAGAGCTGGGGTGGAAGGCCCAGAGGCCTGTTCAGAGGGAGTCGGTTCCTCCAAGCCCCGATCAGCCCCCACCGCGAGCCCTGGGGTCCCCAACCTCTGTCTTCACCAATGGTCAGAAGCTGTCCCCACCCAGGCTTCCTGTAGTTTAACAGGGGACCCAGGGCTAAGAGGTAGGGCCAATGAAAGGTTTTTAGGTGGATGAACAAATGAGTGAACGAATGAAATCCTAACGGGAAAACGTGAGGCACTGCGATAGGTGGACAGGAACTGGGTCCTTCAGCTCACTCCTAGAACTGACTGCCTTCCCTGCCCAGCAGCGGGCAGGCCCTGTGCCCCCCGACTCCCAGCCCAAGTAGTCTGTGCCACTGGCGATGCTGGGACACCCTCTAACACAGCCCTCCCTGCTGGACAGGGACAAAGGGAAAGTCCTCTCTTCACGGGTCGAGGGCAGGAAGGCTGCTTTCAACCACAGGCCTGTGTGACACTGTGGCAGACAGCACCTCCACGAGACAGGCCTGGCAGGGAAGTCGGCCTAGGATGGGACCGTCGGCACTCAGGGACCCCAGGTTCCAATAGCCCAGGCTGTGGGACCCGGTCAGCAGGTGGGTACTGAGGGGTGCCAGAGCAGGCCACACCTGTACAGCCGGTAGTTGCGGGGGCTGGACATGAAGTGGGGGCCCGAGGTCTCACTGAGGCCGTAGCCCGAGTACAGGCGAATGTTGAGGCCCAGGAAGAAGTGCTGTGTGTCCGCGGTCATGGGGGCAGCTCCGTAGAAGCTCTTCTCACACTTGGCAAAGCCCAGTGCCTGGCGGACCTTGGCCAGCACCAGGTAGTCAGCCAGTCTGGCGGTAAAGGGCTTCAGGTCGCTGGCGGGGAAGGGAGAATGGATCACACACACAGGCACATTCGAAGGGTGGCTTTCAGTGGGTGCACAATGGCTGGCCAGTTATCTGTTCTGACTGGCTGGTGCCCACCCCACGGTTACTATGTATTTTTAAATGGCCCCGCCTGTGAACATGCAGGCACACGCGGGTGTGTGTGCATGCGGGTGTGTGCAGATATGTCCTGAGCCAGGAAGGCAGACCAACAGGCTCAGCTGGGTACAAGCACAGAGGCAGCAACAGATGCCCGCAAGTTTGCACGCACAGTAATGCACACCTGCAGGGAAGCATACATGCGTGCACATGCATGCACATACGCGTGCAGGCCCATTTGCAATCCATGACTGGGCCACTCACATTCACTCTTCATGTCTGTGCACAGGAGGCGTGGGTGCAGACACGTGCTCGTGTGTCTCGTGAGACGTGATGCAATTCCACAGACACGAGTCACGGAAAATACTAAATCGGAACAGGCCGCATTTATACCACTGGCCCTCCCGCAGGAGCGATCTGAGTGCTCGCTGGGCTTTTCTCCAGCCACCACTGAGAGCAGGAGCCGCCCCCAACGAGCTCAACGCACCCTGGAGGGAGCAAGTCAGTCCTCACGTCGGAACCCAAAGATGGGGTGACTCCTGTGGGGCCTGGGAAGAGGACAGGGGCTCCAGCCCAGCCACTGTTGGGGCCTCTGCACAGGGTCCCCAGAGCTGAGGCCAGCGGGGCCGGGGCAGGCCTGGCCCAGCGGACCCTTGGCTGTATACTGGGGTTGTGACCCAGCCCTGCTGCCTCCCCAGGCTTCCCGCCCTCTGTACCTGCCCAGGCAGGTGAGGTTCTGCTCCAGCGTCACCGACATGGCCCACAGCAGCATCTTGCGCCGGATGAAACCGGACTGGGCCGCCACCTCCTGGATGCGCTCCATGATCTTTTCCCACACGCGAGGCACTCCCATGTGAGACGTGGGCTGCACCTCCCGCAGAGTGTCCACCAGGCTTCCCTGCTCCCGCCAGAGACAGACAGGCCTGCTGGGTCAGGGCCGGCCAGGGGCAGAGGCCCCGTTTCCAGGTAGCTGCACACCACACAGGCGTGCTGCACACGTGTGCAGACAGGTGCATACACCTGTGCACACCCTGGGGCACATACTATGGCCGTGACTCACTGCTTTTTTGCCAGCAGAACCCTGATGCTGTTCAGATGCTTCAGAAGTACCTCAGTCCCCCGTCCTGGGTGGTAACTCCTCAGTGTAACTCACATGTGATATCCTGTCCCCCTAAGCAGTGACTGGTTTAGGGCTGGACATGTGACCCCACTTGGGCCAATGAGATGCCAGGTGTGGGGGAGTCTGCTGGGGAGGTTTCTGGGAGAGGTCTCATGGTTAAAATAAGGACCCAAAGAACAGACGTAGTTGATAAGATAGGGTGCAGGGCAGGGCAGGCCACTTGTCATCGTCTGAGACCTTACTCTGAGGATGCCTGTCCTCGATGGCGGTGGCCCCAAGGGACTACTCTGACTCAATTTCCTTTAGGTGATAGCATCAGTTTCCCTTTCTGTCCAGTCATTGATGGTGAGCTAACCACAGCTGAAAGGTTTCTGACTGATATGCACACTCCCGAGCACACAAGCACACACACCAGCACACACGTGCGTGGCCCTGGCACACATCCTTGCATGCCCACACGGGCAGAGTGTACACCGACCTTCAGGGCATCAGGCTCAGCAAAGCAGACCTGGGCCCCCCACTGCAGGCCTGTCCACAGGTCGTAGATCTGGGCAGCGACGTGGCTGAGGGGCAGGTAACTGACCACGACCTCCTGCTGGACTTCTGCTGGCTGGATGTCGCCGGCCTGGCTGCCATACCGCGCTGTCCACGTGATCTGGAGGGTAGACCCGGCATTGTCTACAAGCCAGCCCTGGCAGTGCTCACATCTGTCGCTCCGGGGGCTAGGGCTGTTTCTTTGTGGGACCCCCCCCCAGGGTGTTCACCCTCCTGGGCATCTCTGCAGGAAATCCCCAGGGACAGGCCTCCCCATCCCTCGCCGGGCTCTGTCTGGACCACAAACTGATGGGCTGGTCTACTTTTCCCAGCCCCCTGAGCTCAGGGCCAGAAGAGCCTCCCCAGGGGCTGCTGGGGCCACTGCCAGACCCTCCTGCAGCCCAGCCCACCCACATCTGGGCATTGGCCCTACGTTGTCCTGACTCAGCATCACGCCCTTGGGGCTCCCAGTGGTGCCAGATGTGTAGACAAGCACACAGCACTGGTTGGGCTGTTGGGCGTTGATGATGGTGTCCAGGTCGGCCTCGGGCACCTGGTCCCCCAGCTCCATGAACTCCTCCATCTGTGGCCAGAGGGAGAGAGTGGGCCGGCCAGGTCAGCTGGGCAGGCCCAGACAGGCCCACCGGACGCCCAGGGTCCTCTGCCCATACCGTGTGCACGTTGGCGATCCTCTCTGGAGGAGGTTCTCGATACGTCACTACTGCCTTCAGATGGGGAAGGTTTTTCCAGATCTGTGTTGACAGGAAAAAGAAATGGAGTTTCACAAAAAAGAAATAAATGAAGTCACCTACTGAGAAGAGCCCCATCTCCAGGTGTCAGTCTGCCCAGCAGGCACTTTGTGGCAAAGGTCAGCTGGGCTCCCAGCTCTGACCTTTGACCCAGCAGGCCAGTGGGCTTCATGCACAGCTTTCCCAACATGAGAACTCCGGAGCAGTAAAGTGGGACAAGGGGGGGTCAGGGAAAGACTCTTTACTGGAGGACAACCAAACAACCTGGGGCCTGGTGAACAAACTGTGATCCAGCCCACAACAGAGATGGATGTCCTGTGAAGAGAGAGGCTGAGAGGGAGAGGGGAGGTGGCACGGGGGAAAACAGAACTCAGTTGAGGTGACAGGGATCAGAGTTCAGGAAAGCCGGGGCAGCTGGAATCTGTGGGATAGACACAGGAAAGCAGGAACTATGTAGAGAAGGCATTCTAGAAATCTCTCCAGGGGTCCTCCTGAGGCTTTGGCTGAAGAGAAAATCTGCACAAGCACATGGGAAACTCCATGAAGCTGGAGGAAGAACAGTGACAGGACTAGAGACAAACAAGGGCTCACATGTGGCCAGAGCCGTTCACGTGTCGGCAGCCGGGATGGAGGGACCTCACCAGGCAGTGGCAGAGACTCCACAGGGTCAGGTCTGAGTGTGGGGCTGCATTAAATGCCTTAGAGTGAAGGCTAGCTAAAACTGCCCCGAAGGCCTTTGTTTGAGCCATTTCCTTCCCTGAATATTCCATATGCTTTTCTAAGAAACAGGACATCTTTCTGAAATGATCACAGGAACTTGGTCACATCTAACACAAGTAAAACGATCCTTTCACATCATCTACTACCCAGTGTCTCTTGACAGCTGGTTTAAGAGCAAACACTGGAGGGGTAGCTAATTAGCCAGTGGAGATAGAATGGAATACCCAAAAAAACAAAACAAAATAAAAAACTCAAACCAAAAGAAGTCAGAAAAGAAAAGAAAGAACAGATGGGACAAATAACAAACCGCCTATTGGTAAATTTACAGTCAATTTTTGTCAGGCTGGATAAAAAGGCAAGACCCAACTATATGCTGCCTATAAGAAGCTTGCTTTAAATATAAGGACACAGATAGGTTAAAAGCAAAACAATGCAAAAACATACACCATGCAAACACTATCATCAGAAATCTGCAGGAGCAATCGTAATTTCAGACAAAGTAGCTTCGGAACAGGAACTGTTACCAGGGATAAAGAGGGTCACTTCTTAATGATAAAGGGTTAATTCATCAAGAGGACATACTCTAAACGTGTATGTACGTAACAGAGCTTCAAAACACACGAAGCAAAAACTGACAGAACTGAAAGGAGAAATAGACGAACCCACGACAATAACTGGAGATTCCAACACTCCGCTTCTGAGCATGTGACAGCAAATCACTGCAGGTGACTTGAACACTGTAACGCTATCGGCCAACCCGACACTGTTGACATTTATAGAACACCTACCCCAGGTATGCCTGTAGACCATTATTCTGACCACCACACCTGCTCTGTACCAAAGGGTGTTTCAGGTAGCAAAGAGCCCCAGGTGATGAGAGAAACGTCTTCCTTTGGAGGAAGAATCCTAGCTAGCTGATTAGAAAGCCAATACTTTGTCATTGCTCATGAAATAATTAAGTCCGGCAAAGACTGTCAATGGAGAAAGGCTGATGCGGGACATCAGTGGACGAGCACGTGGCCACTTAAAGCCACTGATGAATTTCAGCATCTCTACCTGTGGTCCCAACTGACATCACCTGCCTGTGAGCCACGATGTGAAGCCACCAGCACCACCTGCAGGGTGTTCTTGCTCCCAAATGTTTAATCTGAAATGCACGAGCCCATCATGTAACAGGAAGTGCAGAGGTTGGAGGAACAAGCTAGACCGCAGCAGTGAGAGGAAGCTGTCGACAAAGCCTGAGTGTGGGAGGCCACTCGGCAGGGATGACCTAGTTTCCGGAGGTTCTCGCACTTGCGCCAGGTTCCCCAGGGGCGTGTGGACCACAGCGTGCTGGGTGCACACCCTGAGTTTTGCACTGGGTCTGGGCTGGGGCCTGAGCATCTGCATTTCTAACCGGCTCCCTGGTGATACTGAGGCTGCTGGTCAGGGCCACACGGGTCTGTGATATTGGCACATGCAAGCTGTAGGCTGGGTTTAGATCCTGATTCAAACAAACCGGCTGTCGGGAGACACTGTGGGTAGTAGATAACGTGAAAGAATCGTTTTGTGTTAGCTGTGACCAAGTTACTGTGATCATTTCAGAAAAACGTCCTGTTTCTTAGAGATGCACATTGGAATCTTTGGGGACAGAAATGACGATGCCAGAGCTATGCCTTCAAAGAAAGGTGCATTGATGAAATGAGTGTGATGAAAAAAACACTGATGTTTATTAAATTTGGATGAAGGCTGTATCAGGGTCCACTAGTGGCTTCTGTTTTTGTTTGCTGGGAAACTTTCATAACACAAATTTAATTTGCATAATTTCCCAGAGTCCACATTTCCTAACTCTGGGCCTCAGTTTCTTCTGTTGTAAATGGGGCCAGGAGGCAGGGGGGAGGTTATGTGCATTAGATCAACATCTGTGCGGAGGAGCTGTCTCCCTGGGGGCAGGACAAAATCTACGGGGGAATCTGAAGCTCTATAGCCCTCCCCACTGAGGTTCTCATGGGAGACCATGTTGAGGGGTGTGTCAGCTCCTGCCTGGGGCTGGGGCCCATGAAGCCACCACTCTGTGGAAATCAGTGTCCCACTGAGCCCCAGGGTGCCTGGCAGACAAGTTACCTGCCACTACCCTCTAAATATTCGTCCCCTTTCTGTCTAGTGAAGGGCCTGGTGCTTGGGGTAGGGAGGGTGAGAAGGGGGCCTCCCAGAGCAATTCATTGGGGTCCCCACAATCTGCACCCCTACCTCCTCTCCCGATCTCAGGTGTTTATCTAAGTCGGACAGATGGAGACACTCAAGGGTGAGAGATCCTAAAAACACAGGGTTCAGAACAGGAGGAGACTGACAAGGACCCCCAAGGAGGATGCTCCCCTCACTGGTACAAGTGAGCCCATTTATAAGCCCTTAGCAGGCAAAACAAAGCAGGTGCACAGTGCCTGTGAAAAGGAGGTTTTCAGAATAATCGCCAAATGGCGTAGACGAAGGAGCACACACACAAATCAGCCAACCTGAGGGTCAGGGACCTGTGGGAGCACCGGCGACCTGCTTCGGAGGCTTTGCAGTCTGCTGGGCACAGCCGGGCACACAGTTGTCCCCAGGCCACCACACGCCAGCATGGTGCATTGGAGCATATGGGGGCAGAGCCAGTCAGGAAGAGGTCTTACGTGAATCGGGAGGCATCAATCCCCCAGAAAAGACCCAGCTGGCTCAAGAGGCTCTTTGAGCTCCTGCTGTGCGCCCGCGTCTGTACAAGATGCTGCAGCACTTGACCTGGGGTGGCCCAACCATGTCCTGTGCCCCTCACCCTGTCCCCACCGGGAGTCAGACTTGAGGGCTCAAGGTATCAGGGCCCGGAGTCACCCCAGTGCACACAACCCTCTTCCCGGCAGAGGACCCCAGCCCCACAGTGGTGGCCCTGCCCTGAAGGGAAAGCCATGGGAGGCAGCAGGCTGGCTGGGAGTTCTAGCCCAGGCCCTGTCACCTACTTCTTGGGTGAAGAGGGTCATGTCCCTTGGACTTTCTGGGCCTCAGTTTTCTGACCTGACAAATGGGTAGGTAGCCACTGCCCTGCCTTGCTCTGTGTGAGTGCATGCGGGTTGCTGCTGAGGGTAAGGGGACTCTACAAGGGGGACAGGAAGTCCTTTCAAGCTGGAGGTCCATAACGACGCCCAGCCTTAACTCCCACACCCGCTGTCCCTTTCCCCCAAACCTTCAGGATCTTCTCCAGCTGCTTCTGTGTGTCGACCACAATGACATTGGCACGGCAGTCGTGGGCGATGTACTGGCAGGCCTCAGGGGTGCTGGTTGTATAGATGCCGGTGACAATGCCACTGCAGGGGATCAGAGGCTTTGTGTCTGGGCAGGTGCAGATGGCCACCCCTCAGCCCAGCCCCCAGCCCCCGAGAGCTCCCAACGCCCAACAGGCAGGGCTCCCACAGGGAAGAAATGGGGTGTCGGGGAGGGGGTAGGGGCCTCCAAAGAGAGATAACGACCCTCTCTCCACTCTCTGTCCACCTCTAACCTCTGGAGGCTCTGCCCCTACCCGTCACTTACCCTGCAAATACGGTGCCCACGGCCGAGAAGAACCACTCCGGGGAGTTGAAGCCAAGGATGGCCACACTGTGGGCCGGCTCCAGGCCGAGCTCCAGCCAGAGAAGACAGGCCAGGTCAGTTGGCAGGGGAGGGGCCTCCCGGTCCCATCAGGTCCCCCTTCCAGGCCCCAGGGAACACCCCCCTCCCAGGGTCCACCCAGCTAGAGAAGGCCCTGGGGTCGGTCACTCAGCAGCCCCTGCTGCCCTCCCAGGGCCTTCCCAGGGACTCAAACCCTCAGCCCAGCACCCAGCCTCCGGCCCATCTGGAATGTGATCCCAATGGAAAGCTCCGATCAGGTGCCCGGCACCTAGTGAAGGCCCAGCTAACATGAAGCCCTCAGGGCCGCCCATGGCTTTACAATCATGTCTAAGGGCTGACCCCGTGGAGGGTCAGGAGCAGGCCTGTGGGGCCCAGGGCTGGCAGGTACGGCCTGCGGGGGGACAGGCCAGCCTCGAGGGCTTCTCACCTTCAGGAAGCCCTTAGCAGCCTTGCGGGCCAGCAGGTAGTACTGGGAGTAGGAGACGTGCTCCCACGAGCCCTGGCGCTTGAAGCCCAGCGCGTGGAGGTGTCCGTATTTGTCCAGGGCCTCATAGAACATCTGATGCACAGTGTAGGACGACTGCTGTGGGCAGCTGGGGTCTATGCGCAGACGGACGCGTCCGTCGGCCCGCGTCGTCCACAGCGCCTCCTCTGCAGGGTGGGGAGACCACAGCTGTGGTCACGCCAGCCCAGCACTGTCCCCAGGGCACCCCGGTCCTCCCCTGGTCCCAACTCTGCCTGGGCACCTGCCATGGGGGCTGGCAGACAAGCCAGGGGAGGGGAAAGGCGGGAGGCTGCCTGGAGGAGGTCTGACAGCCTTGCAGGACGGGCAAGGAAGAGGAGAAGACAAAGCTGGAGGGGAGAGAGTGCCTGCGGACACTGAGGCCCTGGGCCCACTCTGTCTTTGTCCCAGGTGGAATCTGCCCCCGAGGCAGGGCAGTCAGTGGTGGGGTGTGGGCTGCCTCAGAAGAGCAGAACTGTCAGATCTCACAGTGCCTTCAGGGACTTCACCCTTCCTCTGCCTCCTGAGAATGCGTTGGGGACAGACCCAACTGGACAGAAAGTCCAAGAATCAAAATAGCAACCCTTCCAGGGGACTAGAGGGGACTGAACCTGCGAGTCTGATCACCGGCCCAGAAGTCTCCATTCCTGGGAGGTAACCACACAGTCCTCGCTCATTACTGCCGAATGCAAGCCACATGCTGAACCCCTCACACGGGGGTCTCATTCAGTTTTATAGATAGGCAGCTGCAGCTCAGAGAGGCACAGCCACTTTCCCAAGGTCACACAGCCAGGAAGGTGATGCCAGAGCTTGCACTTGGAACACTATTCTGGGCCACCACCCAGCATTGAAGGATCAGGTGGGGACCAGGACTCACCATTTGCAGGTGAGACTCTGGGGAAACCACTTAACCTGAGTCTGTTTCCTCAGTGGATAGGGGAGTATTCAGCTCTCAGGGTCGCTATGAGGCTGAGGAGTAACGGTGCCCATTAAAGAGCCCTGGGTACAATCAGTGCTCAACAGGTGCACACGTTTGTCCTTCCTCCCTTTTCTAAGCTCTCCAGGTTGTTTGCAAAGGAGGCTTAGACGGGAGGTCTGCAGTTCTTTGTCCATGGGGCCTCCTTTCCCTGGAGACAGAGTGGTCATTCTGAGATGACCTATTTGAGGCAGGGGGAAGGCGGGTGAGGGAAGATGACAGGGACTGCTCTGCCACCTGTTGGCCAGACCCACGCTGACGGGGAGAGACCCCACCTTGTCAGATGTCTGTCTTGAGGTGGCACCAACAGGGTGCCCTGTGACCAGCAGGCAGATGGGCTGGATGACCTTGTCCCTCTCCTCTGACACTCAGGTGGCATGCGGACCCCGAGGTTCGCAGAAAGAGGTAATAATCCTGGGGCTGGAATAGGAGAGCCCGCTTTTTGTCCTGCGGAGGCCAGGAGCGGGAGGATGAGGGGCACATCCAGGCCCAAACAGGAGAAGGGCATATATGAGCCAGGGGCACGACAGCCTGCGGGAATGCAGCCCGGGGCAGAGGAGGAGGCCTGGGAGGGCAGAGGCCGAGACCACGCCGACCGGCCCCCACCTACCTGGCACCCGTGCCCTCCGGCAGAGGTGTGAGCCAAGGGCCCCTCCTCTCACTCCTCAGACATCTCTAAGCCCATCCCCGTATCCCGGGACTCAGCCTCTCCGTCTCCAGCCCCTGGACTTTGCAAACGTGCGTGCATCTGAGCAGAGCAGGGCAGAGACAACAGGTCAACCTGGGCTCAGATCTGGTTTCGCGCCTCCCTGCTGTGTGGCCTTGGCAGGGCCTCCTCCCAGCTCCATCGAATCTTCTCCAAGTGCTGTGAGGTGTGCAGAGACGGGGGCCCTCGCACAGCACAGTGGTGGTGAGAACATCACATGGTAAGATTGGAAGACAGTTTGGCAGTTTCTTAAAAAGTTCGATGTAAATCTACCGTACGGCCTGGCCATTCCGCTCCTAGGGGTTTACCCAAGAGAAGCGAAAACACACGTCCCACAAAGACTTGTACGTGACATTCGTAGCAGCTGTCCTATCATTGCCAACAAGTGGAAACTACCCACAGCCCATCAACTGGTGAATGAACATGAACGGCGGGCCATCCATCCATACAATGGAGTATCACTCAGCTCGAGGAAGGAACAAAAGCGCTGACACAGGCTCCGACATGATGACACTCAAAAGCATGCTCAACGAAGGAAGCCAGAGTGAAGGACCACATCCTGTCCAGCTCCATTTGTATGAAGTGTCCAGAGCAACACACAGCAGATTCGGGGCGGGCTGGGGCTGAGGTGGGGACGGGGCACACACAGCATGAAGGACCTCCTAGGGGTGATGGAAATGTTCTAAAACTGGACTGCGGTGACGTTGGTGCAACTGTGAACTTGCTAAACATCACCGCACCGGACCCTTCACATGGGTAAATCCGATGGCATATAAATTATACCTCAGCACAAGCGCTTAAAGAAACGGGAGGAGGGGCCGGCCGAGTGGTGCGTTGGTTAGGAGTTGGCTTGGGACGCCAGCTCTGAGCAGCAGGGTCCCGGTTCGGATCCACATTAGGGCCAGTGACACTGCCCTCTGCAGCTAAGATGGTGAACAACAGCTCGACCTGGAGCTGGGCTGCCATGAGTCGCCGGCGACGGCGTAGGCTGCAGCCCCTGCTGCAGTGGGTTGTCATGGGCTACCGTATGTAGCCAGCAGCCAGCGTGAGCGGCCAGCAGCCAGCGTGAGCGGCCAGCAGCCGCAGTGAGCGGCCATCCAGAAGCCGGCAACTGGTCTGCCTCACCCGGGAAGAGCGCAATGATGGTGCCAACTTGGGCCAGTGAAGCAACGTCCTCCACAACTAGACTGAAGAACAAAACGACAGCAACTTGTCTTTTTCCCTTCCCCGATTCCCCAATAAAATCTTTTTAAAAAAAGAAAAGAAAAGAAAAAAGAAACGGGAGGAGGAATCCTAAGCTCCTACACTGCCGAAGGTCCCCGTGAGGTGGCTGGCTGGTGGCCTAAGCCTGGCACAGGTCCCTCTGGGCCCTTGGGACAGAACAGGAGCCTGTCTCTGTTGTCACATCCAGAGGCTCCTGTTCACTGGTTGTCAAGATCACCGGTAACTTCTAGGACTTGTTACTAAAGCTTTTCTCAGCCACAAGTTTTAACTTTAACACTGATAATCTTTTTTAAAAGTCACAAAACAGTACCTACTTGTTCTAAGAAATTCAAAGCAATTTAGAAGTATATGATAAAATACAGTGACAGACCCTCCTGATTCCTACATCTCCGGGTCACTGCGTTGACGCTGGTGTGTGGGTGTCATGCTGATAAAAATATTGTATATACCTACAAGAAGTTCGGTTTTATTTTGTTGCTGCTACTTTTTATCCAAAGGGGGGAGAAAAGGATGTTGTTTCTATTGTATTAATGGAGGGTAGCAACCCAAGCGCCCATGGGGGCCAGGTGGGTAATGTATCCTCTTCATGGTAAATAATGTATAATAATGAAAAATAAATGAGTAAAGGGCCCAGTACGTGCACGGGGAGCCCAGCAGGCAGGCTTCACTCCCACAAGGAAACACGCTCCCTCCCGTTTTCCTCTCCACACTCTGCTCCTGCAGGCCTCCCTTTGTTTCTCTGCCTTTTGATAAAGACAAGGACAAGCACAGGATTTCACCAAGGAAAGCCACAATCAAGGGCAGTGATAAATGTCCCCGCCCCAGCCTGACTGGGAGGCTACAGGGAGTGGTGGGGACTGTGGAGGTCGGAGAGCACACACCTCGTCAAAGGGGACGGCCATGGCTCTAGAACTTGGTGCCCAGTCGGAACGGAAACCAAGAGGGCCCTGAAATCTGGGAGTTTATATGTAATTCCCGGATTTTTAATTGTTGGCTCACACTTACAAAAAAATATTACGTGGACCAAATCAAACATAGCCATTAGCCAAATCACCCATCTTTAACTTCTGTGACGTTGATGTCTCTCTTACTGTGTGTATGTGTGAGTGTGTGAGTGTGCAAGTGTGTGTGTGAATGTGCGTGAGTGCATGTGCGTGCGTGCGTGCGTGCGTGTGGCTGCATAATAAACACTCCACTGTTTGGCCATATCATCATTTACTGAGTCGCATTCCCACTGGAAGACACTCAGATGATTCCAGCTTTCAGCCCTTGTCTCAGCTTTTCCAAAGCATAGATTTCTAGAACCGGGTTTACTGGATCAGAAGAAAAAATCATTTATCGTTTTGAAGGACACTTTGGATGGAGTCCCTCCGCCTAATTTCTTCTTTCCCATTACCTAACTCTCACCAGGCTGGAGTCCCTGAAAGCCAGGACCAAAGGCTCGCTGGGTCCTGAGCGCAGAGCCTGGCCCAGAGCAGAGGTCAGGGGGCCTTTGGGAAGGACGAGTTAGCGTGTCCTATCCCAACCCAGGAGGGCTGCCCCCAAGGACTGTGTGTTCAGGGAACCGAGGCCTCTGCCTCCGGCCATACTCCCCCAGGGTGGCTTGATGAGGACGCAGGGCACACTGCAGCCCCACACAGAGAGGGACAGGCCCACACAGCAGAGGCCTACCCAAGCGAGCCAGGCCAGGCTGAACCTCATCCCGCATGGCCCCAGCCCCAGGAGGGGCCCGGCGAGGGCCTGCCCTGCTCACTGTCCTTCTGGCCTGAGCCCACCACAGCACCGTGGCCGAGCCCACCCCGGGCGTGGGAGCTGAAACAAGGGAGTGGAGTAGGGGCTTTCCCAGGCTCGGCGTGCACTTTCTGCCCCTCACGCTCCCCTCCTCTCGTTCTCATGTTGCCAGGGTTCTTGGCCTGACCCTGGCCTGTGTCTCATCAATGGCCCATTATGCTGGGGTGCCCGGGCAGGCTGGGCGCTGTGTTCTCTGGGGCTCTGGAATAAAGGCGTCTAACCAGCAGAGGAAGTCACTCTCAATCAGCTGGCGAGCAGCAGAGAGAAGCCCCGGGTGCTCGCTGCCGTCTATGGGAACGGCCCAGCCCAGCTCACTGTGCAGAAGCAGGACACGGGTCCTGGGCAAAGGTGACTGTCAGGCCTGGGACAGGTGTCTCTCCAAGAATGCTCCTTCAGGGCACTGGACCCCTGCTGCAAAGGCCAGTCTGGGACTGGAGCCAGGAGGGTCCCTCTCCTTACAGGGCCCCAGGCCAGGCACTCCTGGGAATGTGTAAGGACAAGGCCACGGTGGCCTCAGCACATGAGAGACAATGACAAGGCCTCCTGGGCCAGAACAGTCTGTCCACTTGGCAAAGTGGTACTGAATGTACCAGCTGAAAGTCCGGTGATTCTGGCCCCCGGGCCTGAGGCCTCCTGGCAGTCCAGGGAAGAGAGCCCCTCCAGCTGTGGGCCACTCACCAGCCTTCTCGCCCGAGGGTCAGGAGCTCTGGGTTCTGGACCTTAAGCAGGGTAACTCTGGGTCGATGCCTGTCCTCCCTGGGCCTCAGTTACCCCATTTGAATTTGACTGGGATGGACGGCACAGTCTCGAGCCCCTGCAAGGTCACTGTTTTAGCTTTTTGGTCCAGGCCTGGACCACTGGGGTGGGGAGCTGAGGTGGGCTTTACCCACCCCTGTGGAACCCAAGCTGGGGCTCTACCAGCTGGAGGGCACAGAGATATGGGAGGCGATGTGAGCGTCCCAGCCTGGAGCCCGAGGCCGTGGTGCCCCAGTCCTGTGCTACAGTCTGAAGGACACTCAGAGGTGGCCTGAGTGCCTTGGCCCCCGTGGTCTGCCTGAGACCCAGGGATGCCTGCAGTCACCACCTGCCTGGATGGGGTGTCCTCCGCTGAGCTCTGTTCCCTCTGCCTGTGTCTCCTTCAGGCCCCTACCCTGGGCTGCACCCCAGCTGCCAGAGGCTGTTCCCATGGCACTGTGGGCATGAGCCCAGCCGCCCGACCCTTCCCTTGCACACAGACCCAGTCAGCATCTTGGGACAAACATGGGGAACTCTGGGCCTGCACAAAGCACCTGATACATGCTTGTGACTTGACAGAACTGGACATTTTCATGAGAAAAGGTTTGGGCACGGATCCCCAGAGGCTCCACTGTTTTGGCTGGTGGGGCCTGGATGACCGACCACCTTTCTCAGAAGAGGAGCCATCTACACGAATTTCCTCTGGCCTCTGGGAAGCCTCTCCTACCTACCCCCATCCCCACTCGCCGCAAGAGGCTCACGTGACCGGTCCTCTGCCTCCCCAGCCTCAGGCGTGAGCTCCCTGAGGACAAGGGGAGTATCTGGATCCTTCCAGCCAACCACCACCCACGTCCTTGAAGGGCAGGAGAAGGGAGAGGCAGGCCCGGTGCACCCCTTACCCTCACTGGGCTGGAGACCAAGCTGGGCTGAGCTCCCAGCCTCCCAGCCTCCAGCTGTAAAGCAACCAGTGGGCGTGGGAGTTTCCTAGGAAAGGGGGAGGGGGAGACCCTGGCCAGACCTTCCACAGCCCCATCCCCAGCAGCTGCTCTCCCTGGGTCCCCTCCTCTTCCCCGCTCCAGCTGGAGTTCACGCTCAGCCTAGAAAGGTCTGAGCAGCCAGAGCCAGCTCAGGGCTGCCTTTGTGTGGAGGTCAGATTCCGGCAGCTCTGTGGCCTGACTCAGTGGGGCTGCCCCTTGGGAGCACAGCCATCGGGAGGGGCCAGACCTCAAGGACTCTCAAGCTTCTTAGGAACTCAGGGAGACCTAGGTGAATTCTGATTCCTGAATGCAAGGCTCCACGAGCTCCCCAGAGGGACTGCTGGCTCAGCAGTCAGGAGGCAGGGCCTAAAGGGGACCCCACTGTGCATGGTGCTATCTAGGTCCCAAAGAGGCAGTGAGGCCAGTTAAAAGCGCCACCTCGTACTAGCTGTGTGCCTCTCAGAAAAGCAGTGAAGCTCTCTGAGCTCAGTTTTCCCAATCAAATGAGAATGATGAAACTGCCACCCCACTGCAGCTGTAAAGCTAAGACTGAAGAACACGAGTCAGCCCCAAGCACAGAGCCTGGCACACGGGAAACGCTCTTGTTATGAGGGGGCACTGCAAGGGGAAGGGGGACGCAGCCCCCTCACAATCCCCAAGCCCCTCCCATCAGTCTTTCTGTAAACACTTCCCTTTTCGTACTTCTATGGAAAGTGCTCTGTGAAGGGGCAGCTTCAAGACCCTGCCCCGCCCACATGTTGCTGCTCCAGTGTCACCCCCACACAGAGCCCGCAGCCAGGGGCTCCTGGAGCTGCTGGGGAGTCGTGCGTGCGGGTAACAACTCTGAGCGGCGGGGCCACGGGGGCACAGGCGGGCACTTGCTCCGTGTTCAGCCTGGGTCTCACACAGATGCTCCCCAGAGCCCCCCCTATTCCCCAGGAACACCAGATGCTGCGTGAGGTGGGGCTGGGCGAAGCACAGCCACGTGCCAGGCCTGTAGGAGCCATGAGCCTGCTTGGCACTGCCCCGGGCAGTGCCCAGGGCCCCTTCAGGAACCTGCTCTGGGGGTTTGCTGACAACAATGGTGCCAAGAAGTCCGCTTGGCCCTCTCAGACTGTCCCGGCCTCCTTATCACCAGCCCTAGATACTTGAACTCCCAGGTGCAGACCTCTGAGCTGAGAACCAGGCCTAGGAGGGGGCTTATGGGTCTCAGGTTAGCTAGGGGTCTTCCTCAGCGAGGAAGCCCACCCTGATCACCCAGTTGCCAGGTAGCAGGCCTTCCTCCCTCCGCGTACGTGTGCCCTTCACTCAGAGCCTGTCTTCCCTCAGATGGGGGATTCTTTGAGAGCAGGAAAGCTTGTCCACATCAGCAGCCCAGCAGCCCAGCTCCGCACATAGGATGGAGGGTCCACGTGCATGCCCAGCTAGGCTGTCCCCACCAACTACCCAAAGTCCTGACTGACCACAGCGGCCTTCTGCCTCCCCTGCAGATGCCTCCCCATTCCTCACCCCTCCATTAAACGCAGTGCCTCTGCCCCACCTGGCCCTATTCCAGCCCCTGATGGGACCTGCTCCAGGTCCCTACCCACTTGTTTAAAGCCTGCCCATTCCACGGGCCCCACTGCTTCAGGGGGGCCAGGTGAAGCCTTCAGACTAAGCAACTGAGGCCACCGGGCTGAAATCACCTGCCCCTCCCTAGGGACATCAGAAAAGCTTTCCCCATGCTGGCTGCCTCCCTGCCCCTCGAGCTGCCAGCACCCAGGCTAGGATTCCGAGCACTGGGGCTTGGCCCTGCACAGACCCCCATGCGGACGGGTGGCAGAGGACTCCTGCGGCCTGAGGGGACCAAGCCTGCAAGCTGATGGACCTGCCAGAGATGACCCAGCACCACAGCAAGTCCTGTGGTGCCAGTGCCGGGGCTCCTGGGAAGGGAACGTGGGAGGCCCCTTCCGGCCTCTCAGGGCCTTTTAAACCCTGCCCCTCAGAAACCAGTCGGTCCTGTCCTTGGCCCAGTTCCTTCTTTATCTCTGGGGAGGGGCAGGAGAGACAGCGTCCACTCCTGAAAGTGCTCCCCCGCCCTTCAGGCCAGATCCCTGCCAAGGCCACCCTGAGACCCTCAGCTTGTCTGAGGCGGTGATAAGCCCCGCCAGGGTGAGGGGTTGGCATTTGGTCTCCAGGGTGCCAGGCGGCCTGGGGAGCAGGGCACCCAGAGCCCTGGTTTGGTGTCGCCCCCTTATGCCTTTTCGCACCCTAGCTTCCTCACGGACAATGGGCAGGGTGACGTGTCCCGGCTCCGCCCTCCAGACTGTGACCACCACGCTGTGACAAAGCACAGCGGTGCTGACTCTGTCCCTCCCTCACACCAGGCCTGCCCTCTGACCAGCATAGCCAGGCCAGAAGGAACTCTGAGGGAGGAAGCCTTAGACCGGGGCCCCCGCCTCTGCCCACGCCCTCCCGTCCCTGGGTCTGGCCTCATCACGGGCCTTCAGAGGCCCTGGGAACCAGCCCCCCAGCTACTCCCACTCCCCAGAGAGCCCTGTCTGGCCATGAGGAAGATGCCAGGTACCCAAACTCAGGACCTTCTACAAGATACACAACCAGCTCAAGCACGGCCATCCAACAGTCCGCTCCCACCCCGTGAAGCTCCCACCAAATGTTCAAGGGCGTGGGGGCGGCCACACGGTTCCCGCCCAGCTGCTCTGAGGAGCCCAGGAAGCAGCAGCTGGGGAAGCTCTTCATCCCCAAGAGGTGACACAGGCCAGCAACTGGACAGCAACCAAGTTCTGTCCCAAGGACAGCACGGTACCTACTGTTTCCATTTTTCTGAATTTCTGTTGTTGCTACAATACTGTACAGTCAATAACAATGAACAAAACTGTGTCGTGACTGTCATTTCCATGACTCCTCAGGGTAAGTGGCAACTCTGCCTCCCTTGAGGTGCAATCATTTGACGGTGAAGGTCACGAAGAGAACATGTGACTGGTTAAGCCTCCAAAACAAACTCGCCAGCCATTGCTTGCAGGCCTGCCCCTTGCCCTAGGACAGCAGGTGGCAATGCCGAGGCCTTGATCATCTGGGCCCCTGCCCGTCCTTCACCACCCCCACCTCGAGCTGGGAGCTGAGGTCCTGGCGATGAAGCCCCAGCTGCCCACTATCTCTGGCCTCTCCCTCCCCAGCTTCCTGAAGAAGAAACCTTTCCCCCACTGCCTTCCACCACACTTGGCCCCAATGGTGGTCGAGATGGAAGGGGCCAATGGTGGGGTCTCCAGGGCCTGGAGATCAGCAGGATTCCACCTGCCCCATCCCCCAAGTTCTGCCCTGTGGCTCCCCAGCTGACTCACCTGGAGAATTCGGCTGGGCATCCTTTGCCTTCTCTGGGGACGAGAGGTCGAGAACCTGGCTTGGGGACTCTTTGGAGAGTGTGTGTCCATCAGTCAGGGAGCTGGCGGGGAGGGGAAACAATTGTTAGAACATGGCAGACACGCAGTTCGGCCCGCGGTTGACCCTGGCATCTGCGCCTCACAGTGGGGGTCAGGGGACCAGACCTCCGTAGTTGCAGCATTAACCCCACCCCACCCGGCCTCTCCCTACAGGTTCTGTGGGCTCAGGGGAAACAGAAGCCGGACTGTGCTCTGCTCTGCTCTGCTGTGACTCTGGGCAAGTGCATACTTCGCTCTGGGCTCAGTGCCCCATCTGGAAAGGAAACTTGGGGTCTGGCCCTGGAGAACGCTGGGCACCACTCTGTGGAGTGCAGGCTTTCAGGGTAGGGAGGGATCCCCACCCCCACCAGTCCTCAAGTAGTGACAACGGTTGTGCTTAGAAACTCACAGGGCCTGAGCAGGTCCCCAGTGAGGACCTCTGCTTCCCAGTGGTGCCTGTGGATGGCACCTGTCTAGTCACCCATGCAGGGGAGAGCATGGGGCCCAAGACACCTGGGGCTCACACATGAGCCCTCGCGCCTGGCACAGACCCCGTGCCTCGCAGGCCTGGTGGCCCTGGACAATGGATCTCCTCTTCTGGCTGGAACAGCCCAAGCGGTTACTGGGCCTCCATTATCAACTCGGCCTCACTGCTCCTCAGGGTTCGGCCTCACTGCTCCTGGGTGGATGAGCGGATGGCTCGGTACACACCTCAGGACTGAGCAGGGCTGCAGCATTACATAAGTCCAGGGGGCACATCTCACCGTCATCAGCTGTGTCAACTGCTGGAGTTGTACAGTGTGCAACCTGTGCAGCTGGTCAGGACAGCTGACGGCAGGACCCTGGCTCCAGGGAGTCCTGTCTGCCTGTCAGGGTGGGACCCAGTTCCCACGCAACTGGGCCAGTTACCTGATTCTCACATTCGGCCTTACTCCTTGCAGGTACCACAGGTTCAAACTAAGTTTGCGAACACACCTGGGCCCACCTGGTAGCAGTCTGCTTAAGAACCTGAGATAAGTTTTAAAGCAAAAGACGTTAGGAGGTTATAAAGGGAGGGGGATGGAGAGCGGGGGATGACTGGGGGGCTAAGCTGGTTCCTTCTTGGGAACTTTGTGAGCAAGCCCTGGCTGCAGGGCTTTAGCAGCCCTTCTGTTACTCTCCAGGGTTGCTGCTGGAAGGACTGGAAAGATGACAACGTATGCTTCTGGGGGGAGGCCTACTGTGCCAGGCAGGACAAAGAGAGGCTCCCGAAGCCGTGGGACTTGTCCTGCTGAGTTCCGACCATCGGTACCACCATTACTCTCTTGGGTTGTCAAGCAGAAGCTGCCTCCACTTTGGGACAAAGAAGACTGTAATGATATCAACGGCCCCTGAGCTACAGGCTCAGACAATCACAGGGCGAGTGAGGGGACACGCACATAACTCGGCTAAAGTTCCCAGTGTGAGCGCCCGGGGAGGACTGTGAACTTGGGGACAGCCATGCTTTTTCCTGGCCCCTGTCCTCAGGAGACGGGGCTGGCCACAGGGCTGCCCCAGTGTTTATAAAGCTGCTGGGCCTTTGAAATCACTAGCTGGGCGGCTACCCCCAAATTAGCCTAGGCCGTCATTGGCTGTGACCTGCCACAATCTGCATGCTTCCTCACAAACAAGCCTGCGTTTAAATCCTCGCCATCAAAAGGTCCAGACAGCATTTCTTCCACCTAATAAAATTTGTGCAGACTGGTTCCGGTTTTAAAATAGCTAAACAAAGACTAAATAAGAGGAAAGCCACCTGAGGAAGCCAAGGCCCAGCGTCCCCATCATGATCAGAATTTCTGTTTATGGGGAGGAGGAGCTGTTGGAAGCACCTCCTCCCTGTGGGGGCCTTTCCCGGGGTGGGGGGCACCCCACTGCAGCAGCAAGCCTCCTGTGGCTCAGACTCCGCCGTTGTCCACTTCCCCACCTCTCCTTTCCTCCCTCGGTGACAGGTGGATCCTGGCCCCCTGCCTGCACCTGGTATGACAGGAACACCTCACTTAACCTTGCAGATGGCCCAATCCTCTATGGCCTGTGCCTGAAGAATACTGGATGCCCAGTTAAGAGGTCAAAACTTAATTCTCCAGGTGAGTGAAGCGTGGCCTTCCCCTTGCTAGGACCTTGGAGATTTAGTCCCTGTAAGGGACTGTTGGCCTTGCTCGTCACTGGAGACAGAATTCACCAAACCTCCTTGTAACTTTCCCTGCTCACTCGGGGTCATAACTCGTAACAGGCCTTCCTGTCCTGGCTCGTAACACCAAGTGAGCCAACCCACGTCACGTCTCGGGCCGTCCGTCCCTTCCCAACTGCTGCTGCTGCTGCTGATGGCTTTTCAGTTTCGTTTTTTTTTAAATTAGCTTTTCAGTTTTAAAGCCTCTCTTGCACTACTCGTGGTCACTTCTTCCCACTGTCAGTGTGCTGGCCTACAGCACCTCATCTCCCTCCTACTTTGCAGGTTCTGTTTGTAGCGAACAGAATTAGAAATTAGACAACTAAGCTTGTAAGAACTGCAGGCTAAGGGAAGAGATGGCTTCTGCAGTGAAATTTATAACATTTTCCTCAAAGAAAAGCACCTGAGATTTAGGGAGCAGTCCCTACAGTTTTGAGTCCTCAGGAGCATTTGGGGCCTCTCTGATTCTTGCTGCTCTTCTGGAGGGCACACGTGGCCGGGAAATTATCCTGACAGGTGAGGTGCCACTATTGTCATTGTGATCACAACAGCCTGTCAAAGGTGAAGACACAGTATTCCTGTCTGGAGTACTGGAATGTCCCCATTCTGGAATCAGACTCCTCCTGGAATGCAGTCCCCCAGACGCTGGCTGCAGCGCTGGGGCAGAAGTTCCTAGTCACACAAAGACAGTCATGCTGGGAGGACGGCCCAAGGAGGATGACTTGCCTCTGTCTGCTTCCGAAAAGGATCACCTCGCTGAGGACAGAGTCTGTCCTCACCCCCGCCCCCTCTCTCTGTCACACACACACACACACATACACACACACACACACACGCAAATGAGAAACACCTTGTCTTACTTACCCTCTGTCCACAGAAACAAAAACTTCTCTAGTACCTGTCCAGTAGCACGGGGAACAGGGAAATACTCGAAAGGCATGTTTGAGCAAATACATTGTGAGGTGTGTGGGAGGCAGGAGTCTGGGAGAGCCTGCACTCTCCCTTGCTCTTAACTGTTTCTGGTCCACAGTCTCCTTTCTCCAACTATCTTGTCAGAGGAGCAGATGGGAACCATTTGAACACAGAGCCTGCCAAGCCTCCTTCAGCTCCTCCTTCAGGAAGCCCCCTTGGATTATCCCCAACACCCCCTCACCCTCATGGCCCTCGGATACTCAGGTTTTGTCTTTAAAAGGTGCGAGCGGCTTGGTCACGCCTGATTCAGCTCTGTCCTCTGGTCCTGAGGACTCGCTGTGGTGCAGTGGGGCTCAGTCTACACTGGTTGGATCTAATCCTGCTCAAGTTGTCACAGTGTAGACACGTACGTCGAGGGTAGCCCTCTTTTTCCATGTGAACCCCTCACAGATGGAGATCCATCTCCTATTTATTTCGGTGGCCCTTTCTTCCCATTCAGCCCTCAGCAGACAAGCCACTGCTCTGTGTGCAGTAGGTGCTCAGTAAATGCTTTCTTGAAATGACATAGCATTGAGATTCACCAGACTCAGCTGTGTGACCATGAGCGAGTCACTGTGCCTCCCTGGGCCTGTTTTCTGCCTAAATCCTATGGCTATCGTGAGGATAACGTGATACACGAGAAATGCTTAGTACGTAGTCAGCTTTCATCATTATTACTGGTGGACTCTCATGGATCTTTTGGGAAGTTAGTAGAAGAAAATTCTGGAACCTGGAACACTGGTGAGATTAGGAGGATGACTGAGTGGGGTGAAAAACCCCAAACCCAAGTCTGGGTGTCCCGGTACCACGCCAGGCCCAGGTGCACCCCTGAGAGGCAGCGAGGGGCCCGGGAGGTGGAAGAAGGGGGGCCCTGGTTCCTTACACTGTCCTCAGGATGGAGCTCGCGGACCTGAGCAGGAGTACCTCCGGCATGGTCCCCGAAGGGTGGTCACACCCCGTGAGCTACCCCAGGAGAGAGCCTCAGAGAACGTGTCCCGGAGCCGTGTCAGCCTCAGAGGGGCCCTGCACCACCAAACCGCCCTGCAACAGAGACACAGCGTGAGTCACAGCCCGCAGCTGGGCGAGGGGGCAGTCACCCTCGTTCCTGGCCATGACTCACCGGGCTGGGCACCTGGCTGAGCCCACACAACCTCCCAGGAGGTGGCTGCTTTTGGGCTTGGGTCTCTATTCCCCAGGGCACATCACCTACCAGGACTCCTGACCACCACCAGCTACCCTCCCTGTTGCTGGTTCCAGCTCCCGCCTCTCTCTGCTTGGAGGCAAAGGGAGACCCGTCTCCCAGAACGCTGGAGGATGTTTCCAATGGAGGGTGTCGCCCCAGTACTCCCCAAGTCCTGAGAACCCTGAGCAGGGAGAGGAAGCGGTGCCTCCTCCAAGCTCACGGCCACACAGGCCAGTCCCTGCAGCGGCCACCCATCTGCAACACTGCGTCCACACTGGCCCCTCCAGTGCCCCCCACTTCTCCTCAGTTTGCACGCCTGTGTCACCTCAAACATCAGCCCCACTGGCAGCTCTTTTGGGATTCCCAATTCCTGATCTGAGGACCCCACAGAGGACTCACGAGGGTGTGCCAGGAGGGTCTGGCTGCCCCAGTGCTCACCTTCCTCCTGAGTGCAGCGGCAGGCACAGGGCTCCGCATCCCCTGTGCGCCCTCACTAAGGCACCTGAGTGTGGGAGCCAGGCCTGCCAGTGTCCCAGGTTCCAGGTGATGAGGCAGTGGAGCTGGGCGTGAACGGGGACGCACCTAGCCTGCCTGGGGCTACGAGTGAGGTGTGGCCCATACCTCTGACCCACCTGGCACAGGCCCCAACTGCCTACTTGCAAGACTTACATAACAGGGGCAGGAGGCAGCCAGTGTGTTGGTTG